GAGGGATCGAGTGTAGGTTTTTTGAGGAGGGGTGCAACTCTCGCTCTCTTGAAGACGGAAGGGACATGGCCAGCGGTCAAGGATGAGTTGATGAGCGAGGTGAAGTGAGAGAGAAGGTCACCGGAAATGGTCTGGAGAAGAGAGGAGGGGATAGGGTCAAGCGGGCAGGTTGTTGGGCGGCCAGCCGTCACAAGTCGCAAGATTTCATCTGGAGAGAGAGGGGAGAAAGAAGTCAAAGCATAGGGTAGGGCAGTGTGAGCAGGACCAGCAGTGTCATTTGACATAACAAACGAGGATCGGATGTCGTCAACCTTCTTTTCAAAATGGTTGACGAAGTCATCCACAGAGAGGGAGGAGGGAGGGGAAGGAGGAGGAGGATTCAGCAGGGAGGAGAAGGTGGCAAAGAGCTTCATAGGGTTAGAGGCAGAGGCTTGAAATAGCAGCGCTATGATGGGTGAGTGACAACTAAGTTAGACTGCGCAGCCAAACTAACGGGACTTAAGGGAAACTAAGGGGACTGTGAGGGGAAGTTAGGTAGAGAGGAGAGGAGCAGGACAGCTTTTTTTACAAGCCCGTTGTTTAGACTTGTATTGAAAATCTGCAGATAAACTCAAGTGAAGCTCACCATTGATGGATTGATTGCTTGATTGCTTGGCACATTTTCTGTATTTAAATAAATAATTAATAAAGCAAAAATTATATCAACAATTAATTTACTGGCACTAAGCCATAGATGAATAGTTAGTGTTGTAAACTAATGTAAAAGCACAAGTTTATTTCCACTAACAGAATTACTACCTTTATTGGCCACCAGATGGCGCTACAGGACCGGTCCTTTCTTCATTGTTCAGTTACCAAATCATTCTCTCATACCTCTGAAGTCATTGCCAGATGATGAAGCTGCAGCAAAACTCAGTGAGTACCCTTTTGAGATGATTCTACCTGCTTGCTGTTTTGAATGGTAATATGAAGAAAGTGAGATCTGTAGGTTTCATATTCAGTTGGAGGTGCCACATATTGAAGAACAGAAATATCTCCCAAAAATTCCAGCTTTGAGGGACTACCCGTTTATATTTATCATACCTATCCCACACTTGTGAGTTGTGTTGATATTGAAAAGTGAGTCGTTCCACCGATTCGGTGCCTTTTGAAAAGTGTAGCCTTACTTGGTAAAAAAAAATAACGTTTGATTTCATCTAATTTTAACATTCTGCATAAAGAGTGCATGTTCAATTTCATAAAATACATGTTTTCCCATCTCAAGAGGTTCAATAGAAAAAAGACTATAGTAAGTTCCTATTCAGTGCCAAATTAAGTAACAGGGTTGACTGTAACAGGGTTGACTGTAACAGGGTTGATGATTTCTTTGTCAATCATCCATACATCCCCTTGTGACAGGGGGAATGGAAGCTTGTTGTGTGCAACAGGGAGTGGCAATTGAATGCAAGCTTCACATTTTTTAAAATAATTGTTCAAAATTTTTAGCCTAACTTCTATGAGTTATGGGGTTGACTTGTTATGCTCAAACCGCTCCGTCTTCCACCACAAGGGGGGGGGGGGGGGGGGGGGGGTATACAGAAGATAGCCCTATTTGGTAAAAGACCAAGTCCATATTATGGCAAGAACAGCTCAAATAAGCAAAGAGAAAAGACAGTCCATCATTACTTTAAGACATGAAGGTCAGTCAATATGGAAAATGTCAAGAACTTTGAAAGTTTCTTCAAGTGCAGTTGCAAAAACCATCAAGGGCTATGATGAAACTGGCTCTCATGAGGACCGCCACAGGAATGGAAGATCCAGAGTTACCTCTGCTGCAGAGGATATGTTCATTAGAGTTACCAGCCTCAGAAATTGCAGCCCAAAGAAATGCTTCAAAGAGTTCAAGTCACAGACACATCTCAACATCAACTGTTCAGAGGGGACTGTGTGAATCAGGCCTTCATGGTCGAATTGCTGCAAAGAAACCACTACTAAACGACACCAATAAGAAGACGAGACCTGCTTGGGCCAAGAAACACGAGCAATGGACATTAGACTGGTGGAAATTTGTCCTTTGGTCTTTGTGAGACGCGGTGTGGGTGAACGGATGATCTCCGCATGTGTAGTTCCCACCGTAAAGCATGGAGGAGGAGGTGTTATGGTGTTGGGGTGCTTTGCTGGTGACACTGTCTATGATTTATTTAGAATTCAAGGCACACTTAACCAACATGGCTACCACAGCATTCTGCAGTGATACGCCATCCCATCTGGTTTGGGCTTAGTAGGACTATCATTTGTTTTTCAACAAGACAATGACCCAACACACCTCCAGGCTGTGTAAGGGCTATTTTACCAACAAGGAGAGTGATGGAGTGCTGCATCAGATGACCTGGCCTCCTCAATCCCCCGACCTCAATCCAATTGAGATGGTTTGGGATGAGTCGGACAGCAGAGTGAAGGAAATATTATTATTAAAAGCAGCCAACAAATGCCAAGCATATGTGGGAACTCCTTCAAGACTGTTGGAAAAGCATTCCAGGTGAAGCTGGTTGAGAGAATGCCAAGAGTGTGCAAAGCTGTCATCAAGGCAAAGGGTGGCTACTTTGAAGAATCTCAAATCTCAAATATATTTTTTATTTGTTGAACACTTTTTTGGTTACTACATGATTCTATATGTGTTATTTCATAGTTTTGATGTCTTCGCTATTATTCTACAATGTAGAAAATATTAAAAATAAAGAAAAACCCTTGAATGAGTAGGTGTGTCCAAAATGTTGACTGGTACTGTATACCCTGCATTAGTATGATAGCAAAATCAATGGAAGATCGATGAACGAGGAACTTGAAACTTTGTACAATGAGGAACGTTGACCTTTGCTGTATGTATGGTTGATGATGGGTGGGCTATGGAGTCATCCTGAGCTGCACAGCAGGTGTGAAGAGGTCTCTACAATGCAGTGATTTTGTATGTGTGTGCGTGCGTGCGTGTTGGGTAGAAACTCTATTTCCTACATTTCCTTGTGGCCAGGGTGGGGACGGGAAGCCCATGGTCATTTCCACCCTTTAGCTCGTCTGAGAAGGGCAAAGGTCACATTCGTCATAGCCATAACCCTGCTCACTCTAACTGCTGTGACCTCTCACTCACTTTCTCTCTCACAACATATAAAACACAGATTCATTCTCACTGTATTGTGAACCCACTTACAGTATATCTTGCTCTCTAACATAAACGTACAGGGACACACACACTAACAAAGTCCCTCACAGGCAATTAAATCATTTTATAATAATAATATGCCATTTAGCAGACGCTTTTATCCAAAGCGACTTACAGTCATGCGTGCATACATTTTTGTGTATGGTGGTCCCGGGGATCGAACCCACTACCTTGGCGTTACAAGCGCCGTGCTCTACCAGCTGAGCTACAGAGGACCATTTTGAGATATCAAAGCCGGTCAGGTGTTCTATCCTTAGTTTTTCCTGGCACAATTACAATCTCTGTGTGTGCATGTGTGTTTGTATTCGATTTGAGTGATTGCTGTGTATGTGTGCGTTGTGTAACCAGGTGACACAGTCATGGTGGCTTAGAGCCATGCTCTCCATTTTGGAATATCCTCTCTGGCCTCCCAGTACTGGTGAAAATCGCTCTACTAGCCATAGATAGAACTGCATGACCCATTCAACAACTTTGAAAATGTATTTCCTTCCTACCTCCCTTGATGAACACCGATCTACCACAACAGGATTGTTGAAAGCTATCCATTCACCTATCCATATGTCTTGGATCTGAGACATACAAATAACGCTGCTACACAAACATGGATTTGGAAGGTAAATGCACTTTAATTACAATCCACACCTGCTGGCAGCCCAAGACGAATGGAAGGAGAGAGATGACAAATAGAGCAAAGTAAAACAGTGACATTCAGAGACAAACCACAGTACAAAAAAAACCAATATCAATATGTACAACATATATACAACAGAGCTATTTTACACAAAGGTATAAAAAACATCTTACATCTTTGACAACCACAGTGTGTTACAGAGACCGCACAGGCAACAGTGTAATGTTTTAACTCAGTTCTCTCATGGTTCAAATGGATTGGGGTCAGGCTCTACTCTCTTTTCTAACATGTCCCTCTTTTTATTTAAAGGTTGCATTTATTGATACTTTTTTAAAATCGTTTGCTCCTTCAGTCATTTTCTCATTTTCTCCTGGCAACAGGCATGAAGGTCTGTAATCCTAATCATACACACACCTCACACAGACACACAGACACACACCTCGCACAGACACACACAGACACACACAGACACAAAGACATACACACACACAACAATTATACCACAGTTTATCCTTCAATAATTAATGTGGAAATGGACTAATTGGAATTAAAACCACTTTGCCCTTCCCTCCCATTGGTTGCTGCCCAGCCCAGGCGGCCACAGTGCAGGGCTGCAGTCCCTGTAGAGGTCCAGTTACAGATGTCAGTGACAGGCCATACAAGCCTTCCAGGGCAGCCAGGGCAGTGGGGTGCCTACAGAGGGACATTAACACCTAGGGAATGGCTCAAAGGACTCCTCACAGTTGTTCCCGTCTACATGAGTCCCCATACAACACAGAGACACTCAGACACAGGCCAGACTCTAACTCAAGGCCAACCCTCATAAGATTAGCTCCAGGGTCAGCAGTTCAGAAGGGCATGATGTAATAAGTCAGAGGTAAAAGTTCCCCGCCATGCTGTTTCTTGATGTTGGCGAGGTCGGTCCCCAAAATAGATCTGCTTAGCTACCTTGTAGGCCCAGCATTCTACACCAATAATATATGCCATTTAGCAGGTGACAATCTCAGCTCACAAAAGATGAGGAGTCAACTCAGAGAGGGATGGGTCGGGGTGAGGTCATCACCACAGGAACCGATGCAGCATGGCACGGCGCCGGGGTCCAGGGCCAGGGCCCGGTCAGAGAGAAGTGGGCGCAAAATAATAAAAGCCTCTGACAGTTGAAAGGTTCAAAGGTCACACCTCCAGTTCCTGGTTGTCTGAGTAGTGGAAGCGGTTGAGCTTCTCCCTCTCCAGGTTGGAGATGTCCTGTTTGGGGGCGTGGTTTGAGGATTTGAGTGCAGGGGAGGGGTGTGAGGGGGCCGGGGAGGGGGGTAGAGTGAGCTCGATCTCTTCGCAGCAGCGCGGTACAGGGACAGGGGTCTGGGTGGTGGTGAGAGGGGGCAGGAGGGGCGCGGGACGGTCTAGGTTTCGGATGAGGGTGACGAACTCCCTCTGGTTGTTGATGCCCTCCTCCTGGGGCCCGCCCTGCGTCTTTTTCCGTCGTCGGTGGAGGCGGGAGAGGAAGAGGGCGCAGGCTGCGCAGCCGCACGCCATTACTAATACTGACACACCCACCAACACTATGTAGAGATTGACCCCTCCACGAGCTGGGTCTGACATGGCACCTAGTGAGAGACAGAGAGAGAGAAGGAAAGAGAGAGCGAGAGAGAGAGAGAGAGAGAGGGAGACATGTTAGTTAGTTAACAAACACACCTGTACACACACATAATGTAAAACAAATCTAATCTCCGTAGTCCAACTACGACTCACCTGGACAGTGTTGGCCATGACAGGGGTCCTTAAGGCTTGTGCACTCATTACCATAGTAACCCTCGGGGCAGGCACACATGTACCCCCCCTTGGTGCTCTGACAGGGCACCCCCTGCTGGCATGGGTTGGGATTGCACAGATCCACCACCACCTGGAAAATATGAACAAGAACAAAATATGTGAGGAGGATACAGAAAACCAATGGGAAGATGATGTATCTAAGAATGGAGTCTGACCTCGCAGTACGTCCCTGAGTAGCCCATGGGACAGCTACACAGCTCCGCCCTGCCCTCCTTGTCCACACACTGGCCTCCGTGCTGACAGGGGGTGCTATCACAGGGACTGGGGCCAGTCTGGCAGTGCTTCCCAGAGAAACCAGGTACACACAGGCAGCGTGAGCCTGACACAGAGTCCTCACAGTGACCTCCATTTAGACATAACCCCTGGCAGCTGCTGTTCCCTAAAGAACAGCGAGAAATAGAGATCAGCACACTCAATCACACACACACACGCACACGCACGCACACACACACACACACACACACACACACACACACACACACACACACACACACACACACCCATACAGGACCATCTTCCTCCATTCTTGACCTCATACTCACTGATGTCACAGTTAGGCCCCGCCCAGCCTGACAGGCAATCGCACAGGTATCCACCAATCAGATTACGGCAGGAGCGGGCATGGACACACACATCCATCTCACACTCGTTGGTGTCTGTGGAGAGAGTTGGTAAGTAGAGAGAGAGAACACATCAATAAAATCACTGGTGGGGTCTCAGGACAATCTTTTAGCTTCCGCCAATTAACAGCAGCAGTCCTTTTGTAAGAGCCTGGCACAACTCACTACACTGTCACATATACAGAGAGCAATAAACCTTTTAAAAAGAGCAATAACACACATGCTAGACAACAATGACAAAGGCTGTGGTAACTGAAATGTTAGCCCAATAAAGTTAAATTAAGCCAGAGGCTGTGTGTGTGCGTGTGTGTGTGTGCGTGTGTGTGTCTCTGTGTGTGTGTCTCTATGTGTGTGTCTCTGTGTATGTGTCTCTATGTGTGTGTCTCTGTGTGTGTGTCTCTGTGTGTGTCTCTATGTGTGTGTCTCTGTGTGTGTCTCTATGTGTGTCTGTGTGTGTGTGTGTCTCTATGTGTGTCTGTGTGTGTGTGTCTCTGTGTGAGTGTCTCTATGTGTGTGTCTCTATGGGTGTGTCTCTATGTGTGTGTCTCTGTGTGTGTCTCTATGTGTGTGTCTCTATGTGTGTGTCTCTATGTGTGTGTCTCTATGTGTGTCTCTGTGTGTGTGTGTCTGTGTGTGTCTGTGTGTGGGCGTCTCATCTCCTATACGAGACCCAAGGGAGCTGAACCACTTCCAGTGTGGCTATAGAAGCAATCGTGCCTCTGTCACCTCCTCTACCAATCTCCAGAGTGTTGGAGCTGAGAGAAACCCCTCAGGGTGGTCTCTGGTAGCAGGGGGAAGAATGAGGGTGTGACACCATCAATGAGGAGACAGGAAGCAGTCAGGTAATAGAAACCCTGCTGCTGTCAGCACCATAAGGATTTACCACCAGGGGTGAGAAAGAGCAGAGAGATAGGGAACATTGACCCCTGTATGAACAGCCTGAAGACAGGGGATTCTCACTGATGTATTCTCACTGATCCATACAGTGAAGACAGACTCAGAGACAGAGAGAGAACTATGTAAAGTATATTCTCTGTGTGTGTACTGAGTCTGTTTTTCTCAGATGGAGGGTCAGGATTTTTGGGAACCTGTCCTGTGGGTCGGAGCTAAAGCCTGGGCTGTGGTGTGTGTGTGTTGAGTGCAAACAAGTGAATGTGAGCAATGTACTGCGAGCTATGAAGTGGAACTGTAGGGGATTATCAGTTGTCAGTGTGACATATCACTACAACACAGAGGTATATATATAAGACTGTCATCCTGAAATATGTCTCCACGGACCTTATAAGCCTCGAGCCTGTATGTGTGTGTATGTGTGTGTATGTGTATGTGTCTGTATGTGTATGTGTGTGTGTGTGCGTTTAACTTGATTCGATACAATACCCCCTACTGAAGTATCATCTGTCATTAGAACTAATATGCATTAGGGCTTTGGGGAATTCCTTCTCAATATGAGAGTACTTGGGCCTAATGGACATAGTGTAACATTGTACGCATACTGAGTTAGATCTGGTGGCTGGATTCTCTAGCTAGAAATGCTTTGTGTGGATATACTATGTATCTATACCGAAGAGATTTATTTTGTAGACTACTAGTGTTCCATAGCGTCCATCTTACTGACCTAGTTGGCAGGTTCTGCCAGTCCAGCCGGGGGGGCAGATGCACTGGAACCCCTCTGGAGACTCCTGGCACGTCGCACCACGCCCACAAGGGTTTGAGTCACACTGCCGCACCGCTAAAAGGAGAGAGAAATCAATTAATTAACCAATTTATCAATAACATAGTTTGATCATACAGCCAACAATAAAATAACCAGTGATTCACACTTCAACATCACTGAAGAGAGATACAAATATGAATCAACCAAATAATCAACCAATTAATCAACCAACCAATTGTCAAGTCTGTGTGTTCAATGGGATTCTTACTTACCCTTATTTTTTAGGAATGTTTTTCCTATTATTGCTCATTTTATATGGTTGTTTCAGCTTTCTTATTTGCACGCATAATGAGTTGTTCTAGATTAGAGTTTCTGCAAAAAATGACTAGAATCTAAATGTAAAAATGTAAATGTGTGTGCAGTTGTAAGTATGTGTGTTAGCGATGCATGTGTATGTGTGAGTGTGTGTGTTCTTAATTGTTACGTTGATATGTGGATGCTCCTGCGGGCTGTGTTTTCATTCCCTGTTCTCTTGCTCTGGCTCCTGAGCAAACACTGATAAATAAAATAATCTGCTGCACCTTGTTCACACCTCACTGGATCTCCTAAGCTCACCTTCCCATCCAGAGATAGAGGGATAGGGGAGAGAGAGATAGGGAGAGAGAGGGAGAGAGAGATAGGGGAGAGGAGGGAGCAGCCACGCCTCGTTCCACTCCTCTGGAGAGTAATTAAAAACAGAGAAAAAGGGAGAAATATATGGAGAGAATGGGGGAATAAAAAAACAGACAGAAAGAGAGAGAGAGGGAATGGGTAGAAAAAACAGGCAGTGAGAGAGAGCGTCAGTGACAGGTAGGTAGGGTGAACCCATAGGCTAACATGGCATATTTGTACAGTAATGCGGTCATCGTTTTTCCATGCACGGCCACTGTAGCATACATTTCTCATCTGTCAGCACCTCTCTCATAACCTTTCCCTTTACCTAACCCTACAGTCATACCAGTTTCCATGATCCTGACCCCAACCCTGTACAATAACCCATTCAAAGCCACCACAGCCCAGGGGGAGACTCAATAACAAACAAAGTACCCTCTAATTAATGTTCAACATATAAATCACGTCTAAAAACAGAGCCGTGTTGTGGTTCCGACATCCATGCCCTAAAACCCAAACCGAAAGTGTGTCCCCTAGAGTGTGTGTGACTGACTTCGTGCTCCCCACCCACTGACAAACAGTAGATAGACGGTTCAACTGTCTGCCATGTTGTCAACAAACGCTCAATGAATAATAACATTCTGTTTGGCATCATTACTACAATGTAATTGCCTTGAGAATTTTCTTTGAGCGCGAGAGAGGGAGAGAGGGAGAATTTTCGTGTAAACATGGTATCCATTGAAAGAGAGAGAGAGAGAGAGAGAGAGAGAGAGAGAGAGAGAGAGAGAGAGAGAGAGAGAGAGAGAGAGAGAGAGAGAGAGAGAGAAGAGAGAAAGAGAGAGAGAGAGAGAGAGAGAGAGAGAGAGAGAGAGAGAGAGAGAGAGAGAAATAGAGAAAGAGAGAGAAAGAGAGAGTGAGTGTTTACTGTTAATATTTATTGTTTATTTCACTTTTGTTTACTATCTACTTCACTTGCTTTGGCAATGTCAACATATGTTTCCCATGCCAATAAAGCCCTTAAATTGAATTGATTTGAATTTAGAGAGAGTGAGAGAGAGAGGTAGAAATAGCGAGAAAGAGAGAGAGAGAGGGGGAGGTAGAGCGGGAAGATTTCTTGTAAACATGGTGTCCATTGAAAGAGAGCGAGAGAGAGAGCGAGAGAGAAGCAGAGAAAGAGACAGACAGACTAAATTGCCTTCTTTCTTCGAGCACAGCCAGACTCTCATTCTTTCCCACACACATTAAAGCAAAAATAAGCAGTGATACAGGGAGGGAGGGAGGGAGGGAGGGAGGGAGGAGGAGGAGGGATAATGAGTGACCTGGGTATGGTTCGCCTCTGACTAGGAGGACATAGAGTGAGTTTGTGATGGTCCCCTCTGTCTCATGAGAGGTGAGTGATTTGTGACGGGGTATGGTTCCCCTCTGTCCTCACTGAGGGAGGGACATAGAGTGAGTTTGTGACCTGGGGCTATGGTTCCCCTCTGTCCTCACTGAGGGAGGGACATAGAGTGAGTTTGTGACCTGGGGCTATGGTTCCCCTCTGTCCTCACTGAGGGAGGGACATAGAGTGAGTTTGTGACCTGGGGCTATGGTTCCCCTCTGTCCTCACTGAGGGTAGGGACATAGAGTAGTTTGTGACGCTGGGGCTATGGTTGCCCCCTCTGTCCTCACTGAGGGGAGGGACATAGAGTAGGTTTTGTGACCTGGGGGTATGGTTCCCCTCTATCCTCACTGAGGGAGGGACATAGAGTGAGTTTGTGACCTGGGGCTATGGTTCCCCTCTGTCCTCACTGAGGGAGGGGGAGCACCTGTGACACAGTCATTAATTCCAGTGTGTGTATTTGCTGTTCCTGTCTGACTGTCTGCTGACCTGCACTATAGTAAACAAACATGGGGGTGAAAAGAGATGAAGTTGAACACTGCATGTTTATACAGATATCTCTTAGATATTCAGACGTAAAATGTATGCACGCATGACTGTAAGTCACTTTGGATAAAAGCATCTGCTAAATGGCTAATATTATATTATTATTATTATTATTATTATTATTATATTATCTTACGCTGTGTGTCTGCGTCATGTACACACACGCGCACACACACACACACACACACACAAACAAACAAACACACGTGAGATCTTTTGACTGTGGCCTCAGAATCAGAGGCAGGACCAGACTGACACTGTAATCCACCTAAACATTTGTGACCTCAATGCCCCCCATAATGGTGACGTGGAACATTCTCCAAGCTGTGTGGGCCCCTGTTAACTTGTGGGAAGAAGGAGGAAGGCAGACAGGGATGATTGGTATTCGAACTAAAGACCAAGCACTCATCTTAACTTAAATGCTTAAGCCTATTAGCTAATTGGCTTGGCGAGAATCTTCGGCAAAGGTCAAAATACGACCCCACAGCCCTCATATACCCCAAACACACCCCATGTTAACCTGCGCAGCTTAGCAAGCTCTACCTGTTTTGAAGAGACACGGACAGGGACACACACATACTAGACTCACAGAATGGGTCATGGGTGCCGTGACTATGCTGGTTGCTTTTTGGGGGCTATTTATATGAGTCACACACTTACACACTCAGGGAAGAACACTCTCTCTTTCTCTGACACACATAACAACTGGGGTGCATGGTGTTAATGTGTTTGTGCCAGTGGTGTAATGAATTCTATCTGTATCTGATTACTGTGTTGTTTGTGTTCTGTGTAAATTAGTCTCATCCTGGACACTGATTAGAATCTGGGCACTGGCTCTGCTCCAATCACAACCAATCACGGGTAATCTCAGCCATGCTGATTGGTGCTAATTACCGTCTGCGCAGGTGTGTCCGGTCCAGTTGTCTGCACAGACACAGCTGAAACCTGACGGGTCCTCCGCACAGGTGGCCCCGTTCACACAGGGGGAGGAGAGACATGCATGCTCCACTGAGGACGGCAGGAGAGAGGAAGAGAGGGGGAAGGGAGAAGGAGAGAGAGAGAGAAGTCAAACTCAGAGCAAGGCAAATTCAGTCATGAATCTGGTCACAAACTGCCCATGTGCTAGAAGTTCATTCATGCTGATATTATTCAAAAAATTATATGCAGAAATACTGCAGAAGTAATGAACTCACCGATATCACAGTTGCGCCCGCGGAAGCCCTCTTGGCACTCACATTGGTACTCATCAGGCTCTGTGTTGGAACAGGTGCCCTTATTCTTACAGGGCTGGTGGGTACCGCAGTAGTTCAGATCTGAGATATAAAGGGAGATGGGGGAGATGGCAAGGGAGGAGAGAGAGGCAGCAAGAAAGAGTGAGAATGGGTAGAGTGGAGGGGGAGAGAGGCGGAGGAAGAGAATGAGGGATTGAGAGATAACAAGAAGAGAAAAAGGATAAGAATAGAGAGAGAATGTAAAATGGCAGTTGAAAAAGTGACAGAGAGGGAATGTGGGAGGAAGCGGGAGAACAAAAGAAAAGGATTAATCTCCACCCTTTATATTTTCCCGTGTCCTTGATCTGTCTGGTCTCAGAAGCACAGAACGGCACTGCTACATTAGTGCGAACACACACACACACACACACACCCACGCACACACGCACGCACGCACGCACACACACACGCACACACACACACACGCACACGCGCCCGCGCGCACACACACACACTAACACACACACAACAAAGCATTCTGCGGCAGTCGACATCGAGGTGTCCTCATTAGAAACATAACATAAAACGGATAAAGAGAGAAGGCACACACACACACACACACACACACACACCCCAGAGTGAGTAACTGAGTGAATCCAAGTCGGTGCGGTGTGGTGTGGTGCGGTGTGGTGTGGTGCGGTGTGGTACTGGAGAGTAGCTGCCTGCCTGGGGTCTGGGTGTGGGCCCTGTGCATGGAAATAGGCAGCCAGAATAAAGCCCTACTTTCTAATGATCTCTCTCTCTCTCTGCCATGTTCAGCTCTCTTTGTGACTGAGCCTCTTTACAGATGACTTGAATGGAGGGACAGGAAGAGGCTCAGGACCCCACCTAGCTAAGCAGGACCCAACCCAGCCCAGCTCACATTCACTTTACCCAAGGCTATCGCCTTTCCCCTCACAATGCTTCGCTGCCGGCCCCTCATGTGGCTCCCAGGGGCTCCCACACTGGGACACAGGGCGGGGGGGGGGGGGGGCAACGTTGGGGAAATGTTTGTACAATGTTTCGGTAATGTTGTGGGAAGTGTTTTAGGGTTATTGTAGAGTTACTAGAGTGCCCAGAGGGAGTTGTCTTATCTTATATAGATGATCAGGGGGCTGTGCCTGGGCAAGGATGTGAACCACACCCGTTCAAACACGCAAGCATGCACACACTCACACACACGAAAACAGACTGATGCACAAGCAACTCTCAAAGCATGACTTTCTTCTGATCGATAGTCTACTCTTCTTGATACAGAAGTTAGTGCTACACAAACACAAAACTCACCTTTGTCACACAGCAGGCCTCCCCAGTTGACGTCACACACACACTGCCAGGGTTCAACGCAGCTCCCATAGACGCAGCCTGGGAACGTCACACACTGGTCACACAGAGTACCCTGATAGCCATAGTGACACCTACAAACACAGAGGGAGAGGGAGAGGGGGAGGGGTTGTTGGTTTAGCAGGCTTTATACAGATAAGATACATGGAAGTCTTTGAGAACAAATGTTCTTTTCGACAGCAGGGAGGAGCAGACTCACTTGCATTCTCCAGGCACAGTGCAGGAGCCATGGATCTGGTGACACCCCTGTCTGCACACCGCTGTAACACAACACACACACACACAACATTACATCACCGTCTGTCAGGTCAGAGACAGTCCACTGACACTGGGGACCTATAGACATTACAGATGCCACTCAACACAGTCACTACGTACCGACCAAGAGTACAAAACAAACCTGTCATCAAAGAAACACAACAAACATAACCGCCACAGTACACAGCATCATTGACGTCAGGTGGGGTAGTTCCATTTATGGTAACATTCAGTGCTCTCCACACTCTACACCCTCTATGTCTCTCTGGGGACAAACTTCACTAACGTCTCTCAACAAATGATGTCTCACGTCCTGTATCTCTCCAGTCCAATCAGCACCCTGCTGAGGAGGAAGTGAGATGAGCCAGAGGAGGGCGGTAGCGGGAGGGAGGGCCACAGGATGTCATTACTCCAGGCTCATATCCTCCATGGTTTCCGCCATTATTTCCTTGATTTAGTCTCACCTCAGCAACACAGCTGCTTCAGGTCAGAGGTCAGAGTGTGAGGTCTTAATGATGACTCACAAGCCGGAATCATGGAGATAATGAAACTTTGAATAAACTGTCAGGACATTTTAGATGTTAAGGGGATTTTCCAGGCTTGATGGTTATTACCTTGGTTATTACCTTGGCATAATGTACTAACAATAGGAATTAACATACAAAGAGTCACGAGTCACGAGCAAGGAGGAACCATCCCTTGGATTCCATCCAATCATTTGTGCTGGCCCTAATATGTCTGTAGTCTATAACACGACTCCATGTCCAACAGATTAAAACCCTAATGCAGGCTAAGCCCGAAACACGTTGGTCTCATCAATAAATAAGCGTTTTCTGTCAACTTCCACTGTCTTCTAAGAGTTGCTGAATTTCCTCTTCACTACTGTATGTAGCCCTCACTCACCTTCTCGACACTCCAGTCCAGTCCAGCCCTCCTTGCAGACCTTGATGCCGCTGAGGTCACAGTCAAAGTGTCCGAAGAAGTCGTCCCGGGGGCGGCAGAACTTGTTGCAGAAGGGGCCGTAGTAGTTGGAGTCACACCGGTACCGGAGGCGGTACTCCAGGCTGAGCATGCGTCCGTGGTGACGGTACGTCTGCCACTGCTCGCCAGGATTCAACATGGAGGACAGGAGGACACGCTCAATCAGACCAGCCTGACCTGAAGGAGAGAGCGAGACAGGGACAGAGATAGAAAGAGACAGAGACAGAGATAGAAAGAGACAGAGAGAGAGAGAGAGAGAGAGAGAGAGAGAGAGAGAGAGAGAGAGAGAGAGAGAGAGAGAGGGGGGGGGGGGAGATATATAGAGAGAGGAGACAGAGATAGAGAGAGAGAGTTAGATTTGCCCTGAGAGAAAGACAGTAGAGAAGAGACAGCGAGAAGCTAAAGGGCACAGGGTTTGTGTGGCTGCCCTGAGAGAGAGAGAGAGAGAGAGAGAGAAGGGACAGAGGCTCGCTCCACCCTGCATGGTGGTGACATGTTGTGAGAGCTACTGATGAGGAGGAGAGGACAGGGTGAGGGCAGAGGTGGTCGACAGGGGACAGGCTGAGGGTGCAGAGGGTACAGAGGGTAGGAGGGGCACAGAGTTTGGGTGGTGACATGGGGAGAGAGCTGCTGACCCCGGGGGGATTTCCCAGAGGGGCTGTCATCTCCACCTCAGTTATAATCCCCCCTGACAGGGTATTAACCCACACAAAGCACTGTGTGTGTGTGTGTGTGTGTGTGTGTGTGTGTGTGTGTGTGTGTGTGTGTGTGTGTGTGTGTGTGTGTGTGTGTGTGTGTGTGTGTGTGTGTGTGTGTGTGAGGGAGAGAGAGAGAATGTGTGTCTATGAGAGAGCGAGACAGAGAATGTGAGTGCGAAACAGTGTACTGTGTGAATGTGTATTTAAGAGATGGGGAGATGGAGCTAGAGATAGAGACAGAGAGAATGGGGGGCCTGGCCTGTAAGTCAGAGGAAGAGACAGAGAGCATTTGAGAGAGAGAGAGAGAGAGAGAGAGAGAGAGAGAGAGAGAGAGAGAGAGAGAGAGAGAGAGAGAGAGAGAGAGGGAGGGAGGGAGGGAGGGAGGGAGGGCGAGCGGGCGGGCTAATAACACACATAACAAAACTCCTGATGGAGGGATGAGATCATCTGGGTTTGAAACAAAAGAATGAAAACAGGGGCACATATTGGCTGGGGGTTTGGAAGGGGAGAGGGAACACAGCAGACACTAAGGGTATCGTTATCCCAGCTACACCCCCATTGTCCACACGTGCGGGCGTGTGTGTGCGTGTGGTTTGCTAAAGCTATTGAACGTACTGCTACAGCAGCATGTGTTTTTCATTACTTTTACGCCTCTGATGAGTCCAACAGCTAATTTCATCGCCCACAGTAAAGTGCTCTACCAGAGAGACAGAGTCAGAGAGAGAGAGTGTGTGAGAGAGTATACAGCATGACTGTTCCGAGATGAGTGGGACACAGTTAAGACAGGAACCGACGGAAAGAGAGGTCTCAATGGGGAAGAGAACACACACACACAAGGATTATATCAGTGGGCAGGAGAGGGAATCTAATCTCTCTCTCCTCTTGTGATTGTGTTCCACTGTTCTGTATTGGATCTGAAGTGTTTGTCCTTGACGGTGTGTGTGTGTGTGTGTGTGTGTCTTTCAAATCACCTGGGGACAGGTGATTTGAAAGACACAATTGATTTGAAAGACACATGAATAGACCGACACAAGTCCATAGATCAACACACAAACACCTTTATACGTGTCTCCAAACACACATTAAAAGAGGGTAGGGGGAGAAAGACAAAGGAAGAGAGAGAGAAAGAGAGAGAGAGAGACAGAGACAGAAAGAGAAAGTGAGAGAAAGTGAGAGTGACAGAGAGAAAGAGAGAGTGGGGGGTGGTTGGTTGTTCAAAAGGGGGGGGGGGGGGGTTGCATTGTTTTTTATTGATTGTATTGCCTTTCATGTGAACCAATAAAAACGTATTGTTCACATAAAAAAGAGAGAGAGAGAGAGAAAATCATCGGGGAACACAACTAGCTCCATTCCAGGGAGTCGATAAGGTCATTCATGTTTTACAGCGTTGTCAATATGTTGTCCGTCTCTGTCCAAGGACTCTGTAGCTCTGTGTTAGACAGCTACATTACAGTGTTGTAATCCATCCTGATTAGAGCTATAGGCCTGTAAATCGGCCCTGACTGCTCTAGGACGTCTGCTTTGGGTTTGAGCTGAGCTAAGCTGAGAGCCAGGAGAGGGGCTTTAAACCTAATGTGGTAAAAAGAGAGAATATTTCAGGAGCTCAGGAGAACGAGGGATGGCGCAAACAAGACGTACGATTAGAGCTGGAGGGCAGAGGGAAAGAGAGATGGGGGGAAGAGGAAAAAGAGAGGGAGGAGGAAGAGGAAGAGGAGGAGGTCTGTGGTTTGGTTCCCAGCCTCTCATTATCTCTCCACTCATCTTTTGGCTGAGTCTGTCTGCAGCCTTTTACTGGGCAGGAGGGGGCAGCGGAACAAGGGAGACAGGGGGAGAGGATGAAAGGGAAAGGTTGGGGAACGAGAGGAATGAGGAAGGGTAAGTGCATCTTTGTGTTTGTGCGTCTTAGTGTGTATGTAATGAGTATTGACGTGTGCATTTTTGTTTATGTGTGTCTGTCTGTGTGTGTGTGTGTGTGTGTGTGTGTGTGTGTGTGTGTGTGTGTGTGTGTGTGTGTGTGTGTGTGTGTGTGTATGTGTGTGTGTGTGTGTGGGGGGGGGGGGGGGTCGTCTATATCTGTCTGTTTTTAGAGAATGCTGCTCACATTCCCTATCTCTGACTTTGAGCAGAAACAAGAAGCGGAGTGTGAAATTAAAGGGTCTGACTGGGAGACCCTGATACACACACACACAGACACACACACACACACACACCAGCACACGTACAGGCACAATTAGAAGTACATGCACACGCACACACACACACACGCACACGCACACGCACACACACTATCGACATCCACCCTGTATGCACAAACACTGGGTCTCCCCTGCAAGTGCACATTGACACACATTCATAACAGACACACATACCGGTTGTGCGTCCTTTTCAAGAGAGCAAGGGGACCCAGTGAGGACAGGGAGGAACCATAACCATGGGTCACAAATGGGAAGGGGAGGGGGCCACATGCACTCTGTCCCTCCCTCCCTCCCTGTCTGTATCACTGCTTATTTTTCTTTAACGTGTGTGGGAAAGTATGAGAGTCTGGCTGTGCTCGAAGAAAGAAGGCAATTTAGTCTGTCTGTCTCTTTCTCTGATTCTCTCTCTTCTCTCTCACACACACACACACACACATTATATGGAAATTCCCTCTCCAGCCTTACCTGATTCTGATGTTTCGTTGTCATGGTCCAGAGCCTCTAACACCAAGGAGAAAGATTTCTGTGGAGGACAAAGAGCGAGAACAAGGTTCAATCAATTCAGTTTTATCTACGTATCTAGTTTACTTAACAACAATCTGGCGTAAAGCGCTAGCCAAGAACACATAGTAGCTCACAGTAGTCCTACTGATTAAATGAAACAAATACAACGTTGCAACCTCACAGTGTGAAGAACAATTAAATATTTTACTCACTCCAGAAACGTTAATAAAATCCATATAGCAGTTGGGCTGTGACGGTCATGGAATTTTGGACGATGGTAATTGGCCAGCCAAATGAATGTGGTCACCATAATAACAGTGTGAATAGCAACAACAAAAAAATACATATATAAATCCTGACAAACATTTTCTCCTCTCCTCTGCTCCTGACTGCATGTGCCGCCATATAAATAGAATGAATAGAACAGGCGTCCCCATTCTAGTCAATGATGGCATAATGGGTGGACTGGCTGCCATTGTGAGTGTACCCATAGCAGAGATGGAAGAGGAAGCGAGACACCCCACTCCTTCATTTTTCTGGTTACATTACAGTCAATGAACAAAGTAGACCATACCCAGCTGCTATTGCACTGGAGAGCCAGCCCCTTAAGCGCACAGGAACTGACCATTGTTTTTTTTTTAAATGGTAAACAGCCTGAGTGAACTATCTTAATTTATCCACCATCTTCGGCCATAGGAGCAAAGCAGGAAGTAAAAGCAGGAAGTAAAAGCAGGAAGTGTACCCATCAATATGTGCTGTGATTTGTTGATTCAACTCAACTGACATTACAAAAAAAACATTCCATTGCATGAGCCACATCAGTTAACATAATTTGAATGAACATGCTACATTTCAGCAAGGAGCAACAAAGTTTCATCACGTTGTTAAGAGTCCATGTTGGGGAGTCTCCCACATGCCTTTTGGCGAACACCAAACGTATTTGCTTATTTTTTTCTTGAAGCAATGGCTTTTTTCTGGCCACTCTTCCGTAAAGCCCAGCTTAAAGTGGTCCTATGGACAGATACTCCAATCTGCGCAAGGCACTGTATATATATATTTGTATATATATATATATATATATATATATATATATATATATATATATATATATATATATATATATTTATATATATATATATATACAGTGCCTTGCAGAAGTATTCATCCCCCTTGGCGTTTTTCCTATTTTGTTGCATTTCAACCTGTAATTTAAATGGAATTTTATTTGGATTTCATGTAATGGACAAAATAGTCCAAATTGGTGAAGTGAAATGAAAAAAAATTACTTGTTTCAAAAGATTCAAAAAAATAAATAATGGAAAAGTGGTGCGTGCATATGTATTCACCCCTTTTGCTATGAAGCACCTAAATAAGATCTGGTGCAACCAATTACCTTCAGAAGTCACATAATTAGTTAAATAAAGTCCACCTGTGTGCAATCTAAGTGTCACATGATCTGTCACATGATCTCAGTATATATACACCTGTTCTGAAAGGCCCCAGAGTCTGCAACACCACTAAGCAAGGGGCACCACGAAGCAAGCGGCACCATGAAGACCAAGGAGCTCTCCAAACAGGTCAGGGACAAAGTTGTGGAGAAGTACAGATCAGGGTTGGGTTATAAAAAAATATCAGAAACTTTGAACATCCCACGGAGCACCATTAAATCCATTGTAAAAAAATTGAAAGAATATGGCACCACAACAAACCTGCCAAGAGAGGGCCGCCCACCAAAACTCACGGACCAGGCAAGGAGGGCATTAATCAGAGAGGCAACAAAGAGACCAAAGATAACCCTGAAGGAGCTGCAAAGCTCCACAGCGCAGATTGGAGTATCTGTCCATAGGACCAGCTGGGCTTTACGGAAGAGTGGCCAGAAAAAAGCCATTGCTTCAAGAAAGAAATAAGCAAATACGTTTGGGGTTCGCCAAAAGGCATGTGGGAGACTCCCCAAACATATGGAAGAAGGTACTCTGGTCAGATGACACTAAAATTGAGCTTTTTGGCCATCAAGAAAAATGCTATGTCTGGCGTAAACCCAACACCTCTCATCAGCACGAGAACACCATCCCATGGAAACATCATGCTGTGGGGATGTTTTTCATCGGCAGGGACTGGGAAACTGGTCAGAATTGAAGGAATATTGGATGGCACTAAATATAGGGAAATTCTTGAGGGAAACCTGTTTCAGTCTTCCAGAGATTTGAGACTGGGACGGAGCTTCACCTTCCAGCAGGACAATGACCCTAAGCATACTGCTAAAGCAACACTTGAGTAAGGGGAAACATTTAAATGTCTTGGAATGGCCTAGTCAAAGCCCAGACCTCAATCCAATTGAGAATCTGTGGTATGACTTAAAGATTGCAGTACACCAGCAGAACCCGTCCAACTTCAAGGAGCTGTAGCAGTTTTGCCTTGAAGAATTGGCAAAAATCCCAGTGGCTAGATGTGCCAAGCTTATAGAGACATACCCCAAGAGACTTGCAGCTGTAATTGCTGCAAAAGGTGGCTCTACAAAGTGTTGACTTGGGGGGGTGAATAGTTGTGCACGCTCAAGTTTTCTTTTTTTTGTCTTATTTATTTTTTGTTTCACAATAAAAAATATTTTGCATCTTCAAAATGGTAGGCATGTTGTGTAAATCAAATCATGCAACCCCCCAAAAAATCCATTTTAATTCCAGGTTGTAAAAAATAGGAAAAATGCCAAGGGGGGTGAATACTTTCGCAAGCCACTGTATATATATGTATTCTTTATGTATATATACAGGGTCCTCCGTAATTATTGGGGCAGTGAAGCATTTTTTCTTCTTTTGGCTCTATACTCTACTCTATACTCTATTTTTTTGAAATCCAACAATGTCTATCCGGTTCAAGTGCAGACTGCTTTAATTTGAGTGTATTTTCATCCATATCGGGTGAACCGTTTCGAAATTACAGCACTTTCTGTACATTTTAGGGCACAGAAAGTATTGGGACAAATTCACTTATACAGTGCACTCGAAAAATATTTAGACCCTTTTTTCACATTTTGTTGCATTACAGCCTTATTCTAAAATTGATTAAATAAACATTTCGCCTATCAATCTACACACAATACCCCATAATGACAAAGCGGAAACAGGTTTTTAGAAATTTTTGCAAATGTATAATTTTTTCTAAACAGAAATACCTTATTTACATAAGTATTCAGACCCTTTCCTATGAGACTCAAATTGAGCTCAGGTGCATCCCGTTTTCATTTATCATCCTTGAGATGTTTCTACAACTTGATTGGAGTCCACCTGTGGTAAATTCAATTGATTGGACATGATTTGGAAAGGCACACACCTGTCTATATAAGGTCCCACAGTTGACAGTGCATGTCAGAGCAAAAACCAAGCCATGAGGTCAAAGGAATTGTCCGTAGAGCTCCGAGACAGGATTGTGTCAAGGCACAGATCTGGGGAAGGGTACCAAAAAATGTCTGCAGCATTGAAAGTCCCCAAGAACACAGTGGCCCCATCATTCTTAAATGGGAGAAGTTTGGAACCACCAAGACTCTTCCTAGACCTGGCAGCCCGGCCAAACTGAGCAATCGGGGGAGAAGGGCCTTGTTCAGGGAGGTGACCAAGAACCCGATGGTCACTCTGACAGAGCTCCAGAGTTCCTCTGTGGAGATGGGAGAACCTTCCAGAAGGACAACCATCTCTGCAGCACTCTATCAATCAGGCCTTTATGGTAGAGTGGCCAGACGGAAGCCACTCCTAAGTAAAAGGCACATGACAGCCCGCTTGGAGTTTGCCAAAAGGCACCTAAAGGACTCTCAGACCATGAGAAACAAGATTCTCTGGTCTGATGAAACCAAGATTAAACTCTTTGGCCTGAATGCCAAGCGTCACGTCTGTAGGAAACCTGGTACCATCCCTACGGTGATGCATGGTTGTGGCAGCATCATGCTGTGGGGATGTTTTTCAGTGACAGGGACTGGGAGACTAGACAGGATCGAGGGAAAGTTGAACGGAGCAAAGTACAGAGAGATCCTTGATGAAAACCTGCTCCAGAGCGCTCAGGACATCAGACTGGGTCGAATGTTCACATTCCAACAGGCCAATGACCCTAAGCACACAGCCAAGACAACGCAGGAGTGGCTTCGGGACAAGACTCTGAATATCCTTGAGTGGCCCAGCCAGAGCCCAGACTTGAACCCGATCGAACATCTCTGGAGAGACCTGAAAATAGCTGTGCAGCGACGCTCCCCATCCAACCTGACAGCGCTTGAGAGGATCTGCAGAGAAGTATGGGAGAAACTCCCCAAATACAGGTGTACCAAGCTTGTAGCATCAAGAAGAATAGAGGCTGTAATCGCTGCCAAAGATGCTTCAACAAAGTACTGAGTAAAGGGTCTGAATACTTATGTAAATTTGATATTACAGTTTTACATTTTTATAAATTTGCAAACATTTCTAAAAACCTGTTTTTGATTTGTCATTATGGGGTATTGTGTGTAGATTGATGAGGGGGGGAAAAACAACATAATCCACTTTAGAATAAGGCTGTAACGTAACAAAATGTGGAAAAAGCAAGGTGTCTGAATACTTTCCGATTGCACTGTATATGTATTAATGTAGTAAAAAGTTAAGTATTTGGTCCCATATTCATAGCACGCAATGACTACATCAAGCATGTGAGTAAACAAATTTGTTGGATGCATTTTCTGTTTGTTTTGGTTGTGTTTCAGATTATTTTGTGCCCAACAGAAATGAATGGTAAATAATGTATTGGGTCATTTTGGAGTCACTTTTATTTTAAATAAGAATAGAATATGTTTCTAAACACTTCTACAGTAATGTGGATGCTACCATGATTATGGATAATCTTGAATGAATAGTGAATAATGATGAGTGAGAAAGTTACAGACACAAATATCACACCCCAAAGACATGCAAATCTCTCAACATTACAATAACAGGGGAGGTTAGTATTTTTTTGGGGGGTATGATATTTCTGCGTCTGTAACTTTCTCACTCATCATTATTCACTATTCATTCAGGATTATCCGTAACCCTGGTAGCATCCATATTGTTAAATCCACTTCAATCAGTGTAGATGAAGGGGAGGAGACAGGTTAAATAAGTATTTCTAAGTCTTGAGACAATTGAGACATAAAAAGAATCATCCAGCGATCATACACTGTTTACCAGGGGGAAGGGCTACCGACGTAAAGGCTAATCTGAAGATGGTGCTGGCTAAGGCAAAAACTGGCGAGTGTAGAGGGATATTGTTATCCACGTCGGCACCAACGATGTTAGGATGAAACAGTCAAGAGGTCACCAAGAGCAACATTATAATAATATGCCATTTAGCAGACGCTTTTATCCAAAGCGACTTCAGTCATGTGTGCATACATTTTTACGTATGGGTGGTCCCGAGGATCGAACCCACTACCCTGGCGTTACAAGCGCCATGCTCTACCAATTGAGCTACAGAGGACCACTTTCAGTCGACGCTCTTATCCAGAGCGACTTATAGTAGTGAGTGCATACATTTTCATACTAGTCCCTGTGGGAATCGAACCCACAACCCTGGCGTTGCAACCGCCATGCTCTACCAACTGAGCTACACAGGGTGTAAATTAGCTGAGCTACACATAGCTTCAGCGTGTAAATTAGCTAGAAAGATGTGTCGGCATTGAGTAATTGTCTCTGGCTCCCTCCCAATTAGGGTGAGTGATGAGCTCTACAGCAGTCTCACAACTCAATTGCTGGTTGAAAACTGTTTTCTGCCCCTCCCAAAAGATAGAATTTGTAGATAATTGGCTCTCTTTCTGGGACTCACCCACAAACAGGACCAAGCCTGGCCTGCTGAGGAGTGACGGACTCCATCCTAGCTGGAGGGGTGCTCTCATCTTATCTACCAATATAGACAGGGCTCTAACTCCTCTAGCTCCACAATGAGATAGGGTGCAGGCCAGGCAGCAGGCTTTTAGCCAGCCTGCCAGCTTAATGGAGTCTGCCACTAGCACAGTCAGTGTAGTCAGCTCAGCTATCCCCATTGAGACCGTGTCTGTGCCTCGATCTAGGTTGAGCAAAACTAAACATGGCGGTGTTTGCCTTAGCAATCTCACTGGAATAAAGACCTCCTCCATTCCTGTCATTATTGAAAGAGAATGTGATATCTCACATCTCAAAATAGGGCTACTTAATGTTAGATCCCTCACTTCCAAGGCAGTTATGGTCAATGAACTAATCACTGATCATAATCTTGATGTGATTGGCCTGACTGAAACATGGCTTAAGCCTGATGAATTTACTGTGTTAAATGAGGCCTCTCCTCCTGGTTACACTAGTGACCATATCCCCCAGGCATCCCGCAAAGGCGGAGGTGTTGTTAACATTTACGATAGCAAATGTCAATTTACCACCCCAAAAATGACTGCGTTTTCGTCTTTTGAGCTTCTAGTCATGAAATCTATGCAGCCTACTCAATCACTTTTTATAGCTACTGTTTACAAGCCTCCTGGGCCGTAGACAGAGTTCCTCACTGAGTTCCCTGAATTCCTATCGGACCTTGTAGTCATGGCAGATAATATTCACATTTTTGGTGACTTTAATATTCACATGGAAAAGTCCACAGACCCACTCCAAAAGGCTTTCGGAGCCATCATCGGTTTTGTCCAACATGTCTCCGGACCTACTCATTGCCACAGTCATACCCTGGATCTAGTTTTGTCCCGTGGAATAAATATTGTGGATCTAAATGTTTTTCCTCATAACCCTGGACTATCGGACCACCATCTTATTACGCTTGCAATCGCAACAAATAATCTGCTCAGACCCCAACCAAGGACCATCAAAAGCCGTGCTATAAATTCTCGGACAACCCAAAGATTCCTAGAGGCCCTTCCAGACTCCCTCCACCTACTCAAGGACGTCGGAGTACAGAAATCAGTTAACGACCTAACTGAGGAACTAAATTTAACCTTGCGTAATACCCTAGATGCAGTCGCACCCCTAAAAATAAAAACATTTGTCACAAGAAACTAGCTCCCTGGTATGCAGAAAATACCAGAGCCCTGAAGCAAGCCTCCAGAAAATTGGAACGGAAATGGTGCTCCACCAAACTGGAAGTCTTCCTACTAGCTTGGAAAGAAAGTACAGAGCAATATCGAAGAGCCCTCACTGCTGCTCAATCATCCTATTTTTCCAACCTAATTGAGGAGAATAAGAACAATCCAACATTTCTATTTAATACTGTCGCAAAGCTAACTAAAAAGCAGCATTCCCCAAGACAGGATGCTTTTCACTTCAGCAGTGATGAATTCATGAACTTCTTCGACGAAAAGATCATGATCATTAGAAAGCAAATTACGGACTCCTCTTTGAATCTGCGTATTTCTCCAAAGCTCAGCTGTCCTGAGTCTGCACAAAACTGCCAGGACATAGGATCAATGGAGACACTCAAGTTTTTTAATCCTATATCTCTTGACACATTCATGAAAATAGTCATGGCCTCTAAACCTTCAAGCTGCATACTGGACCCTATTCCAACTAAACTACTGAAAGAGCTACTTCCTGTGCTTGGCCCTCCTATGTTGAACATAATAAATGGCTCCCTATCTACTGGATGTGTACCAAACTCACTAAAAGTGGCAGTAATAAAGCCTCTCTTGAAAAAGCCAAACCTTGACCCAGAAAATGTAAAAAACGATCGGCCTATATCGAATCTCCCATTCCTCTCATACATTTTAGAAAAAGCTGTTGTGCAGCAACCCACTTCCTTCCGGAAGACAAAAAATGTATACGAAACGCTTCAGTCTGGTTTTAGACCCCATCATAGCACTGAGACTGCACTCGTGAAGGTGGTAAATTACCTTTTAATGGCATCAGACCAAGGCTCTGCATCTGTCCTCGTGCTCATAGACCTTAGTGCTGCTTTTGACACCATTGATCACCACATTCTTTTGGAGAGATTGGAAACCTTAATTGGTCTACACGGACAAGTTCTTGTCTGGTTTAGATCTTATCTGTCGGAAAGATATCAGTTCTCTCTGTTGATGGTTTGTCCTCTGACAAATCAATTGTAAGTTTCGGTGTTCATCAAGGTTCCGTTTTAGGACCACTATTGTTTTCACTATATATTTTACCTCTTGGTGATGTCATTCGGAAACACAATGTTAACTTTCATTGCTATGCGGACGACACACATTTCGATGAAACATGGTGAAGCCCCAAAATTGCCTACCTTGGAAGCATGTGTTTCAGACATAAGGAAGTGGATGGCGGCAAATTGTTTACTTTTAAACTCGGACAAAACAGAGATGCTAGTTCTAGGTCCCAAGAAACAAAGAGATCTTCTGTTGGATCTGACAATTAATCTTGATGGTTGTAGAGTGGTCTCAAAAAAAACTGTGAAGGACCTCTGCGTTACTCTGGACCCTGATCTCTCTTTTGACGAACATATCAAGAATATTTAAAGGACAGCTTTTTTCCATCTTCGTAACATTGCAAAAATCTGAAACATTTTGTCCAAAAATTTTGCAGAAAAGCTAATCCATGCTTTTGTCACTTCTAGATTAGACTACTGCAATGCTCTACTCTCCGGCTACCCGGAACAGCACTAAATAAACTTAAGTTAGTGCTAAACACGGCTGCTAGAATCTTGACTAGAACCAAAACATTTGATCATATTACTCCAGTGCTAGCCTCTCTACACTGCCTTCCTGTTAAGGCTAGGGCTGATTAAGGTTTTACTGCTAACCTACAAAGCATTACATGGGCTTGCTCCTACCTATCTCTCCGATTTGGTCCTGCCGTACATACCTACACGTACACTACAGTCACAAGACGCAGGCCTTCTTATTGTCACTAGAATTTCTAAGCAAACAGCTGGAGGCAGGGCTTTCTCCTATAGAGCTCAATTTTTATGGAATCGACCTTTCAATCTTTACTGAAGACTAATCTCTTCAGTAGGTCCTATGATTGAGTGTAGTCTGGCCCAGGGATGCGAAGGTGAACGGAAAGGCACTGGAGCGACAAACCGCCCTTGCTGTCTCTGCTTGGCCGGTTCCTGTCTCTCCATTGGGATTCTCTGCCTCTGACCCTATTACGGGGGCTGAGTCACTGGCTTACTGGTGTTTTCCATGTCGTCCCTAGGAGGGGTGCATCACTTGAGTGGGTTGAGTCACTGACGTGATCTTCCTGTCCGGTTTGTCGCTCCCTCGGGATCGTGCAGTGGAGGAGATCTTCGTGGGCTGTACTCAACCTTGTCTCAGGGTAGTAGGTTGGTGGTCTGTTTACATCCCTCTGGTGGTGTGGGGGCTGTGCTTTGGCAAAGTGGGTGGGGTTATATCCTGCCTGGTTGGCCCTGTCTGGGGTTATCGTCGAATGGGGCCACAGTGTCTCCCGACCCCCCCTGTCTCAGTATCTATGCTGCAATAGTCTATGTGCCGGGGGGCTAGGGTCAGTCTGTTATATCTGGTGTTATTCTCCTGTCTTATCCGGTGTCTGTGTGAATTTAAGTATGCTCCCTCTAATTATCTCTCTCTCTCCCTCCCATCCCGGAGGACCTGAGCCATAGGACCATGCCTCAGGAATACCTGGCCTGATGACTCCTTGCTGTCCCCAGTCCACCTGGTCATGCTGCTACTCCAGTTTCCACTCTTCTGCCTGCGGCTATGGAACCCTGACCTGTTCACCGGAAGTGCTACCTTGTCCCAGACCTGCTGTTTTCAACTCTCTCTCTCTACCACACCTGCTATTTGAACCTCTTAATGCCCGGCTATGAAAAGCCAAGTGACATTTACTCCTGATGTACTGACCTGTTGCAACCTCTACAACCACTGTGATTATTATTTGACCCTGCTGGTCGTCTATGAACGTTTGAACTTCTTGGAGAAAAATCTGACCTTAATGGCCATGTACTGTTATAATCTCCACCCGGCACAGCCAGAAGGGAACTGGCCACCCCTCAGAGCCTGGTTCCTCTCTAGGTTTCTTCCTAGGTTTCTGCCTTTCTAGGGAGTTTTTCCTAGCCACCGTGCTTCTACATCTGCATTGCTTGCTGTTTGGGGTTTTATGCTGGGTTTCTGTATAGCACTTTGTGACATCTGCAGATGTAAAAAGGGCTTTATAAATAAAATCTGATTGATTGATTGATTGCAACGCTGCTGGGTTTCTCACGCTCAACAGATTCCCACGGGTTAAGAATGGTCCACCAGCCAAAGGACATCCAACCAACTTGACACAACTGTGGGAAGCATTTGAGTCAACATGGGCCAGCATCCCAGTGGAACGCTTTCGACTCCTTGAAGTCCATGCCCCGACGAATTGAGGCTGTTCTGAGGGCAAAATGAGGTGCAACTCAATATTAGGAAGGTGTTGCTAATGTTTTGTACACTCAGTGTGTGTATATACAGTACCAGTCAAAGGTTTGGACACACCTACTCATTCCATGTTTTTTCTTCATTTATACTATTTTCTACATTGTAGAATAATAGTGAAGACATCAAAACTATGAAATAACACATATGGAATCATGTAATAACCAAAAAAGTGTTAAACAAATCAAAATATATTTTATATTTGAGATTCTTCAAATAGCCACCCTTTGCCTTGATGACAGCTTTGCACACTCTTGGCATTCTCTCAACCAGCTTCATGAGGTAGTCACCTGGAATGCATTTCAATTAACAGGTGTGCCTTGTTAAAAGTTAATTTGTGGAATTTCTTTCCATCTTAATGCGTTTGAGCCAATCAGTTGTGTTGTGACAAGGTAGGGTTGGTACACAGAAGATAGCCCTATTTGGTAAAAGACAAAGCCCAATTTTACATTTTAGTCATTTAGCAGACGCTCTTATCCAGAGCGACTTACAGGAGCAATTAGGGTTAAGTGCCTTGCTCAAGGGCACATCGACAGATTTTTCACCTAGTCGGCTCGGGGATTAGAACCAGCGACCTTTCAGTTACTAGCACAACGCTCTTAACCACTAAGCTACCTGCTGCCCCACAACCATCACAATCCCCCAACCTCAACCCAATTGAGAGGGTTTGGGATGGGTCTGACCGCAGAGTGAAGGAAAAGCAGCCAACAAGTGCTCAGCATATGTGGAACTCCTTCAAGACTGTTGGAAAAGCGTTCCAGGTGAAGCTGGTTGAGAGAATGCCAAGAGTGTGAAAAGCTGTCATCAAGGTAAAGGGTGGCTATTTGAAGAATCTCAAATATAACATATATTTTGATTTGTTTAACAGTTTTTTGTTTACTACATGATTCCATATGTGTTATTTCATTGTTTTGATGTCTTCACTATTATTCTACAATGTAAAAAATAGTAAAAAAAAAAATAAGAAAAGGGTTTTTTCCCCCCTTTTTTTTTTAATTTTTTATTAAATTTTTTTTTTTTTTTTTAAGGGGTTTTTTTTTATTTTTTTTTTCTTTTCCCCCTTTTTTTTTAAATTTTTAAAAAAAAAAATTTTTTTTTTTTAAAAAAAAAAAAACCCCCCCTTTTTTCCCCCCCCCAAAAAAAGGGGGGGGGGGGTTTTTTTTTCCCCCTTTTTAAATTTAAAAAGGGGGGGCCCCCCAAAAAAGGGGTTGGGGGGGGTTTTGGGTCCCTTTTAAATTTTAAAAAATTTAAAAAAACCAAAAATTTTTTTAAAAATTTTTTTTGGGGGGGGGGGGAAAAAAAAATTTTGGGGGTTTGGGGGGCCCCAAAATTTAAAAAAAAAAAAAAAAAAAAAAAAAACAAAAGAAAACAAAGAGAAAAAAGGGGGGGGGGGGGGGGAGGGAGGGGGGAGAGAAAAAAAGGGGGGGGGGGGGAAGAAGGGGGGGGGGGAAAAAAAAAAAAAAATTTTTTTTTAAAAAAAAAAATTTTTTTTTTTTTTTTTTTTTTTCTCCTTTTTTCCCCCCCCCCCCCCCCCCAAACCTTTCCCCCCCCAAAAACCCCCCCCCCCCCCTTTTTTTTTTCCCCTTTTTTTTCCCTTTTTTTTTCCCCCCCCCCCCTCTCTCTCTCTCTTCTCTCCCCCCCTTTTTTTCTCCCCCCCCCCCTCTCCCCCCCCCTTTCCCCCCCCCCCCTCTCTTTCTCCCCCTCCCCTCCCCCTTCCCCCCCCCCCCCTTTTTTCTCCCCCCCCCCCAACCCCCTTCTTCCCCCCCCCCCCCGGGGCCCCCCCCCCCCCCGGGGTTCCCCCTTCCCCTTTCCCCCCCCCCCCGGGGTTTCCCTTTGGGGCCCCCTCCCCTCCCCCCTTTTTTTTTTCCCCCCCCCCCCCTCTCCCCTCTCCCCTCTCTTTTAAAAATTTTCCCCCTCCCCCCCTCTCCCCCCCTTTTTTTTTCCCCCCCCCCTCTTTCCTCTCCCTTTTCCCCCCCCTCCCCCCCTCCCCCCCCCTCTCTTTCCCTTTTTCCCCCCCTTTTTTTTTTTTCCCCCCCCCAAAAACCCCCCAAAAAAGGGGGAAAAAAAAACCCAAAAAAAAGGGGGGGGGGGGTTTGGGGCGGTTTTAAGGGTTTTTTTTTTGTTTTTTGGGGGTTTTTAAAAAAAGGAAAAGCCCCCTTTCCCCCCTTTTTCCCCCCCCCCCCCCCCCTCCCCTCTCTCCCCCCCCGCCCCCCGCTTCCCCCCCTTTTCAAATTTTTTTTTGGGGGGGAATTTTTTTTTAAGGGGGGCCCCCCCGGGGGAAGGGGGGGGGGGGGGGGGGGGAAAAAAAGGGGGGTAAAAATTTGGGGGGAAAAAAAAAATTTTTAAAAAAGGGGGGGGAAAAAAATTTTTTTTTTGGGGGGTTTTTTTTAAGGGGAAAAAAAGGGGGGGGGAAAAAAAAAGGGGGGAAGGGGGGGGGAAAGGGGGTTTGGGGGGGGTTTGTGTTTGTTTTTTTTTGTGTGTGTTTTTGTGGTTTTGGGGGGTGGTTGGGGGGGGGGGTGGGGGGGGGTTTTTGGGGGGGAAAAATGGGGGTTTTAAAAAAAAAAAGGGGGCCAAAAAAAAGGGGGGGAAAAAACAATGAAAAAAGGGGGAAAAAAAAGGGGAAAAAAAAAGGGGGGAAAAAAGGGGGGGGGGAAAAAAAAAAAAGGAAAAGGGAAAAAAAAAAATAAAAAGTGGAAAAAGGGGGAAAAAAGGGGGGGGAAGGGGGGGGGAAAAAAAAAGGGGGGGGGAAAAAAAAAAAGAAAACCCCCCCCCAAATTTGGGGGGTTTTCCCCCCCCCCCTTTTTTTCAATCCACCCCTTTTTTTAAAAAAAACCCCCCCCTTTAAAACCCCCCCTCCCCCCCCTCCCAAATGCAAAAAATTGGTTTTCCCCGGGGGGTTTTTTTTTGGGGTTTTTTTCCCTTTTTCCCTTTTTTTATATCCTTTAAAAAGAAAATTTTTAAAAAGGGGGCCCCTTTTTTTTAAAAATTTCCCCAATTTTTTTTAAAAAAATTGGGGGGGTTTGGGGGGAAAACCTTTTTGGGGGAAAAGGGGCCTTTTTTAAAAAACCCCCCCCCCCCCCCCCCAAAATGGGCCCCCCCCCCCCCCTTTAAAACCCCCCCCCCTTTTTTTTTTCCCCCCCTCCCCCCCTTTTCCCCCCCCCCCCCCCCCCCCTTTCCCCCCCCCCAACCCCCAATTTTTCCCCCCCCAAAAAACCCCCAAAAAAACCCCCCCCCAAACCCCCCCCGGGGTTTGGCATGTCTGTGTGATCTGAGGTGAGGGAGGACAGAGAACATGAGAGGTTGGGCATTGAATAAATAGATAGGTGGGTCTTAGACAAACCATAGACACGTTCAGAAGAACACATTAGGAAACAAGAGAGAATACAGATACAGGATGAAGAGAAAGGGAGGATGGAATTCTAGGATGGAAGAGGAAAAGAGCATGGAAGGTCAGGAGGTTTTAGATAAAGAAGGTGTATAGAAGAAAGTGTAGAACAATGGATGACAGCATAAAGGAGCGGTGAAGAAGAGGTGGGGAGGTGAGGGGAGGTGAGGGGAGGTGTGGATGTGGAGAGCAGTGCCAAGACACACACACGCACACACACACCAAATTAGAGAAGGCGAGTGAGACATCCCTCAGTCTATCTGAGCGTTCTTCACTCCACTATTTTACCTATGGTGTTTACAATCCACCCCCATTAACACACACACACACACACACACAGTGGTAGCCCGCATCAGTCAGTGCTATTGAACCATTGAGACCTCCCAGAGTGCAAGCAGGGTGTTTGTGGCTTGGGTGATGGACCATTTGGATTCATTGATGTTTATCATATCATCTCTCAGAACATTGAAAATCCTTATAGACTAGTGCGTGGACAGTGACAAATTAGGATTTAAAAAACAGTGACCATTCTACCTATTCTATTTCTATGGGAGAGGGGACTAGGGAGGGGTGATTATGGGCAAAAGTCATCATTGGTTTGGACATCCTGTCAGAAAACTTCTGGGTAGGAAATGATGCAGTGTCCAATACACACACACACACCATTACCTCAGTGTTGGCCTGCTCCCTGGCTACTAGCTAAGGACACCTTTCCCATCCACTTTCTCTCCTTATCTCTCTCTCCCTCTGTTCTCCAACCGCTGCCCCAACCCTCCCCCATCCTTCCCCAACCATCCCCCATTCTCCCCCACCCTGTACCTGCTCCCATGCCAGCAGCAGGTTATGACCTAAGGGAGGGCCCATGTGACACACACACATGCAGCACACATGCACGCAGAGCCCAGGTGACACACACACACACTCAGCCAGGTCACACACACACACAGCCAGGTGACACACACACTCAGGAAGGATGTACCTGTGACCAGACCTGGTGCTAAGGCTGGGGTCACACCCCGGGGACCAGAGTAACCATGGTTACTCATCATGACATCTGTACACTGTAATTTCTTTCATGTTGTGCAATATTTTAGTCCTGCTATTATATTAATTGTTCTTTCATTGCTACTGGTCATTTCCATGTAAAATGACCCATGAGCACCAACAAGTGAAGTTCATAGGAGCATGTCAAATTGGGTGTCAAATTAAAACTAAATATATTTTTCAACCATTTTCCATCCTAAAAATTAGGAATAATCAAAGGCTTTGATTTCTGGGCAAACATATGGAAAAAGGATCTAGAAATACAGAAATACATACAGAAATACATCAAAACCCAATAATGTTGAAGACCCCTGCCAACTAATATCAACACTTATATTTAGTTTTGGAGACATTTTTCTGCCTTCTGTAAGTTTAAGAAACATTGCCTTGTGCCTTGAAATTCTATTCCCAAAAACCCAAATATCTTTAAGATATTTTCAAATTTCTCTCCCTCATGAGGAGGGAGGATAATGAAAGTTTACAGAAGTAACAAGTAAAGGTAGACCTATCAATTAGTTAGTTTTTACGGAAAGCAGTTTGGTTTATCAATTATTAAGTGATTATAACTCAACATTTCTGAAAAATCTGTAACAGAATTTCGGCAATTGAATTTGCTACAATGGGAAATCATAGTAGCCACAAACCACAGTTGGGTTGACAAGTTTGGACAGCACAGTACAGCACACAATAGAGTACAGTAAAGTATAGTTCCGTACAGTACAGTAGACTTCTATACAGTACACAGTAGAGCACACAAGAGTTGAGTACATTATAATGAACTGAACTCTACTGTACTCTACTGAACTATACTCTACTTTACTCTACTGTACTGTACTGTACTGTACTCTTCTGTGCTGTACTGAAATCTACTGTGCTGTGCTCTGCTCTACTCTACTGAGCTCTACTGTGCTGGACTTTGATGTCCAAACTTGTGAAATATAGACGTCTATGATTGGTTCAGATTTGGTCCTTTCCGGACCAACCAAATGTGGGCTTGTTTGGGGGCATTGCTCATTAAAATTATAGCCAGTGTGTAGAATAATACCCAAATATGCAAAGGAGGATATTGCATATTTATACCTTTGTGTACCTATTTAGAATACATCACCATGAAGAGAATGACATTCATATCCATAATGATGCATTTCTGTGTAGTACAGATCAGGGACCCATGATGAAATTATGTTACCGCAATTCCATTACCACGTGCAAATCCACTTCACTTACTGTAGTTCAATAACCAAATGCGATTTTGTTCAAAGTCAATGTGTCATGTCATAGCTGACATCACGCTCTTTCTGCAGACATCGTTGAATCTTAATTCAGAGCAGATATTTAACCGTTTTTAGAAAACTGAGGGAGAATTTACCAAGAAATTCTGCTACCAAACTTTGCATCTGCATAGTTCTTCCAGTAAATGTGTTTTGCAAAAAAATGCTGTGTCAATTGTTAAAAGTAGTAATTTTGCAGAGAGTTGTATGGTTTGTTAAACTTTTAAATCAATGTTCTTAGTTTGGCATACATTTTAAGTGAAAAATCTGAGTCACAGCGCAATTCCGTTACCGTGGAATTGCCCAATTGTTTTATGTCATTTTTGTATGAACTGTGCTATAAAGATCATTATCAAAAACCGTATCGCATTATTTTCCAATAATGCAATACTACAAAACAGATAGACAGTCCAACACACTTCAAAATGTAATCTATCAGTAATGCAATAAACACAGATATGCAAATTAGATACACAGAAGCATACCAACATTTTAACACACAAGTATACACATAACAATAGGACAAATATAATCATCCACCAAATCATTATTATTATTATTATTACCGTTTTTTTTCGATTGCTAACAAGCATTGTTCAATACTGCGGATACATGTGCAAAACTCTAAATACAGTTATCACAACTATGTGGCAACCTGTGGATCATTTGTCATTGCTTTGACACAAAATGCATTCAATGACAACATCTTTCAAATTACATTGATACTTGTCTCACAAACACACATTTACCAACAAAACTCTATGTATCTACAGACCATTTTGCAAATGTTAAGATACCCTTATCAAAACTGTTAAACTCAAGTTCAAAAGCTACAGACAATTGAATTAGACTGCAATTTTTTACATTGCTACAGTAAAAGCAAAGTAGAAATTCTAAAATAAAAATAAAATAATCATAATAACTTAATTATTCACAGCTGATTTTCATTCTACATTACGTAACTGAAGACCTACCCAGGTGTTTTCCATTTTTATGTCATTACCATCTCTACAAAAGGGGACATCTTTGGAATATATTTTACATAAACATGGACCCAGCCAGAGATCGTGTAGTGGCTTACAGAGGTGGAAGAGTTGCCGGGCGAGGCAGAGGATTACGTATCCGTGGTGGAAGACCACTGAGGGGAAGACTCAGAGTTGTAGTGTCAGATGAGATTAGGGCTACAATCTTTGATCATGTTGTCAATCATGGTCTATCAATGAGAGATGCTGGTCTCAGAGTGCAACAAAATTTGCAATGCTCAACTGTGTCATCTATTATAAGAACCTTCCAGCAAACTAGCAGGTAAGATACGCATTCTGCATGGGCATCTAACTGTACTGAATATTACTGTAGAGTAGTAAATCGAGCAAAAGCTCTCCGAACCACTTGTGTGTAATTACATTTATGTTTTAGGACCCAACGGTTACCAAATGGAGGGGGGAGAGGTAGGATTTTCTCTGCTCAGCAGGAAGCTGTAATTGTTGACATGGTCATTAGCAACAATGCCATAAAACTCAGAGAAATTCAAGAGAGAGTGTTGGCAGACAATAATACATTTCAAAATGTTGAAAGTGTAAGCACGACAACCATTGCTAGAGTCTTGACAAAGCATCATATCAGCATGAAGCAGGTGTACACTGTTCCCTTAGAGAGGAACTCTGATCGTGTCAAGGAATGTAATACAGTACTGTTTTTACTGTAAACAAAACCCACCAGAGCACTGCACACTCAGCAGTGATTTCAGTTACAGTATACTGTAATGTAAACTACTGTTATAGAATAACTGTTATGTTGCCTTGTGGATTTACAATATTTTGAGCGTTCCACAGGGATGCACACAAATTGACACATTTTCAAGTGGTAGCTGTTTTAGAGTTTTGTAGGTCATGATACTATGAATGACAAAGTGTGCACGTCATGAGAGACTGTTAGCTTTCATTTGGTAGAAAGATTTGCTTTTGAGACATGTAGGATGTGCATTGCCAAGTTGCATGTTGTTTTGATAACTGTATTTACAGTTTTGCACATGTATCCGCAGTATTGAACAATGCTTGTTAGCAATCGAAAAAAAACTGTAAACCACAATAGTCTGATATGAAATACATACTGCAAATACACCCCTAGCATCCACACATATATCCACTCACTCTCTCACACACTGACAGAAACATACAAACAAACTTGCTTTGACAAACAATGTTCCCTCTCTCCTTGTCACTCAACCCTGAAGTTCCACCAAAACAGACTGCTTCCAATCTCTCTCTTACGAGTCAGTTTAGAAATACACAGATACGTTGCTAAGGTTGCTAAGGAAAAAAACAGGCCTGACTGAGTACACAGTGTGTGTGTTTATGTGTGCGCATGTGCGTGCCTGTGTGTGTGCGTGCGTGACCAGAGAGAGAGGAAAGTAAACAACAGTAATGAGACAGAGCCACTGATGATAACGGCGACACTGACAATAATGCAGTGATATTTCTACCGTTAGTCCCCAAAACAACAACACTGTGATATTTGTGCTATTTGGGTCAATAATCACAGAAGGGATGACAGAGCCGGGGAGTGAAGTGGGTGTTGTTCAAATGTCTGAGAGCATGGTGTGTGTGTGTGTGTGTGTGTGTTTGTGTGTTCGTCAGGGTGCAATGTCATTGTGGGAGTGTGTGTGGGAGTGCAGCGTTGTCTGGTGTGTGTGCGTGGACTACCATAGTGTGTTTTGTGTGTGTTATTTAATAGTTCACTGTGAGTGTGTAAGTGTGTGTGTGTGTGTGTGTGTGTGTGTGTGTGTGTGTGTGTGTGTGTGTGTGTGTGTGTTGTGTGTGGTGTTTGTGTGTGTGTGGTGTGTGTGTGTGTGTGTGGTGTGGTGTGTTGGTGTGTGTGTGTGTGCGTGTGTGTGTGTGTGTGTGTGTCGTCTAGAGCTGAGGAGAGGGCTCAAAGTGTGTCATGGCAGTGAGTTGAGAGGCTGGAAGAAACCATTAAAACACTGTATTTAAGATGATTCGCTCAACTGGGCTTTCCTAACCCCACTATTTCCCCGGAAAACATCCATGGAATGTCTAGCATCTCTTGCACAACTGTCATTTATTTCATCTTCTCTTAAACCACTGTTCTGGAAGCATTTTACACATTTTACCCCTCGTAACCTCTCCATCCACAACAAGTCTGGGTTTGGAGGGAGGATGGGGCCTTTTTCCATTTGGACATACCACAGCTCCACAGTTCCAGGTCTCTCATGCTATGCCCTCATTGACCACAGGCTGTGTTAGCATGAGCTAGAACCAGAGGAGCTAGAACCAGAGGGAGTTCCCAAAACAAGACGCAATACCAACAAGGAAATTAAACAGCCATAAATCGCTGGAAACTGTCTGATTGTTTCTCCCTCCCTTCCCCTCCAGTCTACAATAAATAAAAGGCCTGAGTTAATTATGCCCAGACAGATGCCCATGTATGCCCACAATCCTACCCCTCTATCTCCATTTCTCCCTGATGTTCAGTCTCTCTTCCTTTCTCTCTCTTTCTGTCTCTTTTATCCCTCTCACTCCATTTATGATGGGCACTATGACCCCCCCCCCCCCCTCCAGTCACTCCCCACCTCTCTCTGAGCCCTCAGACATGGGCTGGGTAGGATATCCTGGCTGAGCCAGGCTGTACAAACACAGCTCTACGACAGGAAGGACTCCCAGCCATGAGAGAGGAATTTCCCCTCCACACACACACATACACACACACGCACAAACATACAAAAGTGCACGAGAGAAATACGATAGTCAAAACTTTCGACTATAACAGTATTCTCTCTCCCTCTCGCTCCCTCTACCTCTCTCTCTCTCTCTCTCTCTCTCCATCACCCCATTTTTTTACATTCTACATGAGCAGCACACAAATCATTCTGCTACCAGGCCCATTACTATCAAAACCTCTCTCTCATACAGATGGCACCACTCTCCTGAAGTATCAATAGCCCAACTGTAATTATAGACAGACACACACACACACACACACACACAGTAACACACACACACACACACATCCACACGTCTCCTCAGTGACAGTGTTGTCATGACAGCGGTGCTTGAAGCTGGATATGATGGCTTGCACCACACCAGCAACACCCGAATGGAATCACAGCAACAGTGCGTCCATTCCAAATGGCACCCTATTCCCTATATAGTGCACTATACCCTATGGGCCCTGGTCAAAAGTAGTGCACTACATATGGAAAATAGGGTGCCATTTGAGACACAAACAGTATTAACATTCCAAGACAGACCTACCCGCTAGTGCGAAATTACCACAGGACATGAATAGAAGGGGCTATATTAAATAGTAGTAAGAATATGGATTCGCCAGCGAGTGTACATCCTGGTAAATTGATTCTGGCACAGCTTTGATAGGCGTTTATAATGACTGACACAGGAACACTCTGGAATACTGGCTGCTTTCTAAAGCATTTAGAGCATAGAATTAGAATGAGTTCTAATCATTATATTTCTATAAGAGAGAAAACCTACACTGAGTATACAAAACATTAAGCTCTTTCCATGACATAGACTGACCAGGTGAATCCAGCTTAAAGCTATGATCCCTTATTGATGTCACTTATTAAATCCACTTCAATCCGTGTATATGAAGGGGAGGAGACATGTTAATGAAGGATTTTTAAGCCTTGAGACAATTGAGACATGGATTGTGTATGTGTGCCATTCAGAGGGTGAATGGGCAAGACAAAAGACTTAAGTGCCTTTGAACGGGGTATGGTAGTAGGTGCCAGGAGCACCGGTTTGTGTTAAGAACAGCAACACTGCTGGGTTTTTCATGCTCAACAGTTTCCTGTGTGTATCAAGAATGGTCCACCACCCAAAGCACATCCAGCCAACTTGGGACAACTGTGGGAAGCATTGGAGTCAACATGGGCCAGCATCCCTGTGGAACGCTTTGACACCTTGTAGAGTCCTAAGGTTTGGTATACTCAGTGTCTGATGACAAAAGAGAGAACAGAAAGGAGATCCAAGTCCAGTTCTTGGTCCTTGGCGAGAGCTCTAGAGGAAGAGGGCTCAGGGAAGAACCATATGAATGTTATCAACATCATAATAATTGATCAAGCCTTACAATAACAGAGGAAAAATCAATGCAGTATGTGTGGAAAAAGATATCCCTCTCCCTCTAGTACAAGCACATCTATCTCTCTCTCTTACTCTACCTATCCCCTCTCCCTTTCTCGTCCCTTCCTCATTCAATGGCTCTCTTTGTGACTTATCTAACACTACCTCTTTCTTTACACATGATTTGTCTCTCAGACAGAGGATGGATGGAAATGGAGGAGACACATACAGAGAGAAAAATACAGAGAGCAGCAGAAGGAGGGAAATATATATATATAGAGAGAGAAAGAGGAGAGAGAGGATGGATAGAGAGATGAGAGAGAGAGAGAGAGACAGAGGGGGGAAGAGAGGAGAGCCCCTGAGAAGAGTTCTCTCCTCTCTGTATCTATTTTCTCTCTCTCTGTTCCGAACCTCCTCCTCTCTCTCGACTCTTTGGAGTTTCTCTTTGTCCCCCCTTTTTTTTTCCCCCCCCTTTTTCCCTTTCCCTTTTTTGGGGTTCCCCCAAAACCAAACCCCTTTTTTTTTAAATTTTTTTAAAAAAAAAAGGGGGGGGGGGGGGCCCCGAAAATCCAATTTTAAAAAATTTTCCCTTTTCCCCCAAGGGGCCCCAAAGGGGCCCCGGGGAAGAGGGGGGAAAAACCCGGGGAAGAAAAAAAGGGAAAAAATTTTTTTTTTTTTGGGCCCCCCCCTTTTTTTTTTCCCCCCCCCCCTTTTTTTTTTTTTTTTTCCCCCCCCCCCCTTTTTTTTTTTCCCCCCCCCCCCCCTTTTTTTTTTTTTTTTTTTTCCCCCCCTTTTTTTTTTAAACCCAAAAAAAAAAACCCCCCCCCCTTTTTTTTTTTTTTTTTTTTTTTTTTCCCCCCCCCCCTTTTTTTTTTTTTTTCCCCCCCCCCTTTTTTTTTTTTTTTTCCCCCCCCCCCCCCCCCTTTTTTTCCCCCCAGGGGCCTTTTAAAAAGGGGGGGGGGGAAAAGGGAGGGGAAGAAAGAAAAAAAAAGGGGAAAAGGAAAAAACCGAAGGGGGGGGGGGAAAAAAAAAAAAGGGGGGGGGGGGAAAAAAAAAAGGGGGAAAGGGGGGGAGGGGAGAAAAAAAAAAGGGGGGGGGGGGGGGGGGGGGGTTTGTTTTTCCCCCCCCCCTTTAAACCCCCTTTCCCTTCCCCCCCTTTTTTTTCCCCCTTTTTTTTTTCCCCCCCCCCCCGGGGTTTTTTTTTCCCCCCCCCCTTTTTTTTTGGCCCCCCAATTTTTTTTTGGGGGGTGGGGGGGGGAAAAAATTTGCCAAAAAAAAAAAATTTTTTTTTTTTTGGGGGGGGGGGGGGAAAAAGGGGGGGGGGGGGGTTTTTTGTTTTTTCCTTGGGTTTTTTTTTCCTTTTTCCTTTTTCCCCCCCCAAAAAAAAAAAAAAAGGGGGGCCCCTTTTTTTTTTTTTTTTTTTGGGGGGGCCCCTCCCCCCCCCCCTTTCCCGCAAATCAAAAAACATACAAGTGAAAAAAACATTTTATCCCCTACTGTTGTACGTTTGCTCAGACAACACCTAATTTTAATGTAGTTATTTGAACAGTGGACCCATAAATCCAAAAACGCATGTCACAAGTTATAAATGGATTCACTTTATTTGACCCCCCTCTCAATCAGAAAGATTTCTGGCTCCCATGTGTCTTTTATACAGGTAACGAGCTGAGATTAGGAGCACACTCTTAAAAGGGAGTGCTCCTAATCTCAGTTTGTTACCTGTATAAAAGACACCTGTACACGAGCAATCAATCATCAGATTCCAAACTCTCCACCATGGCCAAGCCCAAAGAGCTCTCCAATGATGTCAGGGACAAGATTGTAGAACCGACACAAGGCTGGAAGGGGCTACAGCTATCCGCCAAGCAGCTTGGTGAGAAGGTGAGCAACAGTTGTTGCGATTATTCGCAAATGGGAAAGAAACACAAAGAAACTGTCAATCTCCCTCGGCCTGGGGCTCCATGCAAGATCTCACCTCGTGGAGTTGCAATGATCATGAGAACGGTGAGGAATCAAGCCCCAGAACTACACGGGAGGATCTGTCAATGATCTCAAGGCAGCTGGGACCATAGTCACCAAGAAAACAATTGGTAACACACTACGCCGTGAAGGACTAAAATCCTGCCGCGCCCGCAAGGTCCCCCTGCTAAAGAAAGCACATATAAATGCCCGTCTGAAGTTTGCCAATGAACATCTGAATGATTAAGAGGAGAACTGGGTGAAAGTGGTGTGGTCAGATGAGACCAAAATGGAGCTCTTTGGCATCAACTCAACTTGCCGTGTTTGGAGGAGGAGGAATGCTGCCTATGACCCCAAGAACACCATCCCCACCGTCAAACATGGAGGTGGAAACATTATGCTTTGGGGGTGTTTTTCTGCTAAGGGGACAGGACAACTTCACCTCATCAAAGAGACGATGGACGGGGCAATGTACCGTCAAATCTAGGGTGAGAACCTCCTTCCCTCAGCCAGGGCATTGAAAATGGGTCGTGGATGGGTATTCCAGCATGACAATGACCCAAAACACACGGCCAAGGCAACAAAGGAGTGGCTCAAGAAGAAGCACATTAAGGTCCTGGAGTGGCCTAGCCAGTCTCCAGACCTTAATCCCGTAGAAAATCTGTGGAGGGAGCTGAAGGTTTGAGTTGCCAAATGTCAGCCTCGAAACCTTAATGACTTGGAGAAGATCTGCAAAGAGGAGTGGGACAAAATCCCTCCTGAGATGTGTGCAAACCTGTTGGCCAACTACAAGAAACGTCTGACCTCTGTGATTGCCAACAAGGGTTTTGCCACCATGTACTAAGTCATGTTTTGCAGAGGGGTCAAATATTTATTTCCCTCATTAAAATTCAAATCAATTTATAACATTTTTGACATGCGTTTTTCTGGATTTTTCTGTTGTTATTCTGTCTCTCACTGTTCAAATAAACCTACCATTAAATTATAGACTGATCATGTCTTTGTCAGTGGGCAAACGTACAAAATCAGCAGGGGATCAAATACTTTTTTCCCTCACTGTACATACACAGTCAAAATCTTACATTAACACTCACACATGCATGAAACCTAGAACAGACATGGACTATCCCCTGGGTGTACGCATCCACCCCACCCTGCTGCCGCGTGACCGACCCTGTCCCTATAACTACGCCTCTCTGTTCCTTTATGTTCGCCATCTTTTTGTTTTCCTTTAATTCAGGACATGATTAGTATCAGACTCTTCATCCCCCATTCCTCCCCTCCTCCTCCTCCTCCTCCTCCTCCTCCTCCCTCTCTGTCTTTGAGTCACATTCTTAGGTGGTTAATTGGCTTGACAAAGGTATGTGATTCCAGGCTACTTCAAATGCTCTGAAACAACAGAGCCGTCGCGGCATGGCATGTTCCCTCCCTGACTCCCCATCTCTCCCCCCATCTTGCCTCGCCTCCCCGGCCCACAGCGAGACGCCCCCTCCGGCTTCCGCAGGAAATTACCTTGTCTGGTCACTGGCTGCTAAACATCCACACTTGTGTGTTTAGTGTGAGGCACGGCGAGTGAGAAAGTAGGTATGGGGATGGGTGTGTGTGTGTGTGTGTGTGGTCACTGGATGGCCTCTCAAAAGTTACCCACAAGGACACACCCCACACAGGTCCACACTCTCTTTTCCCAGAGATGAGATGTCAGGTAAGTGAGTCAATCACCCACAGATAGACAGCAGAACGGAATGAGAGCAGTGTTCATGTGTTAATAATGAGTAGTAGTTAGAGACCGTGGCTCCCACGATGCCATAGTGAGATTAAAAAGAAGGAAAGGACTTGGAGGATGACATAGAAGAGACAGGGAACTACACTTGGGACCCAGGGGTTTATCCAGTTCACTACACACCATTCACTGTGTCCCTGAACAGGGATACCCCAAGGAAAACCATTAGTAGTATGACTGATATTCCCTGCTACATCTAATTCCCATAGCAAAGGAAGCTACAGTGAGCTCAAAAAGTATTGGGACAGTGAATTTTGTTTTGCTGTTTTGGTTCTGTACTCCAGCACTTTGGATTTTAAATGATAGAACGGCTATGTGATTAAAGTGCAGATTGTCAGCTTTAATTTGAAGGTATTTTCATCCATACCAGGTGAACCGTATAAGAATTACAGCACTTTTTGTACATAGTCCACCATTTTAGGAGACCAAAAGTATTGGGACAAATTCACTTACACTACCGGTCAAAAGTTTTAGAACACCTACTCATTGAAGGGGTTTTCTCTATTTTTCCTATTTCTACATTGTAGAATAATAGTGAAGACATCAAAACTATGAAATAACACATATGGAATCATGTAGTAACCAGAAAAGTGTTTAACAAATCAAAACATATTTTATATTTGAGATTCTTCAAATAGCCACCCTTTGCCTTGATGACAGCTTTGCACAATCTTGGCATTCTCTCAACCAGCTTCATCAGGTAGTCACCTGGAATGCATTTCAATTAACAGGTGGGCCTTCTTAAAAGTTAATTTGTGGAATTTCTTTCCTTCTTAATGCGTTTGAGCCAAACAGTTGTGTTGTGACAAGGTAGTAGGGTATACAGATGATAGCCCTATTTGGTAAAAGACCAAGTCCATACTATGGTAAGAACAGCTCAAATAAGCAAAGAGAAACGACAGTCCATCATTACTTTAAGACATGAAGGTCAGTCAATACAGAACATTTCAAGAACTTTGAAAGTTTCTTCAAGTGCAGTCGCAAAAACCATCAAGCACTATGATGAAACTGGCTCTCATGAGGACCACCACAGGAATGGAAGACCCAGAGTTACCTCTGCTGCAGAGGATAAGTTCATTAGAGATACCAGCCTCAGAAATTGCAGTCCAAATAAATGCTTCACAGAGTTCAAGTAACAGACACATCTCAACATCAACTGTTCAGAGGAGACTGTGTGAATCAGGCCTTCATGGTCTAATTGCTGCAAAGAATCCACTCCTAAAGGACACCAATAAGAAGAAGAGACTTGCTTGGGCCAAGAAAAATGAGCAACGGACATTAGACCGGTGGAAATGAGTCCTTTGGTCTGGAGTCCAAATTTGAGATTTTTGATTCCAACCGCTGTGTCTTTGTGAGATGCGGTTGTGGGTGAACGGATGATCTCTGCATGTTTATTTCCCACTGTAAAGCATGGAGGAGGAGGTGTTATGGTGTGGTGGTGCTTTGCTGGTGACACTGTCTGTGATATTTAGAATTCAAGGCACACTTTCTGCAGCGATACGCCATCCCATCTGGTTTGGGCTTAGTGGGACTATCATTTGTTTTTCTACAGGACAATGACCCAACACACCTCCAGGCTGTGTAAGGGCTATTTTACCAAGAAGGAGAGTGATGGAGAGCTGCATCAGATGACATGGCCTCCACAATCCCCAAACCTCAACCAAATTGAGATGGTTTGGAATGAGTCGGACCGCAGAGTGAAGGAAAAGCAGCCAAGTGCTCAGCATATGTGGGAACTCCTTCAAAACCGTTGGAAAAGCATTTCAGGTGAAGCTGGTTGAGAGAATGCCAAGAGTGTGCAAAGCTGTCATCAAGGCAAAGGGTGGATATTTGAAGATTCTCAAATATAAAATATATTTAGATTTGTTTAATACTTTTTTGGTCACTACATGATTCCATATGTGTTATTTCATAGATTTGATGTCTTCACTATTATTCTACAATGTAGAAAATAGTATAAATAAAGAAAAAACCATGGAATGAGTAGGTGTGTCCAAACCTTTGACTGGTACTGTATATACACACACTGAGTGTACAAAACATTAGCAACACCTTCCTAATATTGAGTTGCACCTCATTTTGCCCTCAGAACAGCCTCAATTCGTCGGGGCATGGACTTCAAGGAGTCGAAAGCGTTCCACTGGGAATGTAGAAAATAGTAAAAATAAAGGAAAACCCTTGAATGAGTAGATGTTCTAAAACCTTTGACCAGTAGTGTATATGTGTATTAAAGTAGTCAAATGTTTAGTATTTGGTCCCATATCCCTAGCACCCGAGTGGCGCAGCGGTCTAAGGCACTGTATCTCAGTGCTTGAGGCGTCACTACAGACCACCTGGTTCAATTCCAGGCTGTATCACAACTGGCCGTGATTGGGAGTCCCATAGGGTGGTGCACAATTGGCCCAGCGTCATCCGGGTTAGGCTGTCATTGTAAATAAGAATTTGTTCTTAACTGACTTGCCTAGTTAAATAAAGGTTAAATAAAACACAATGATTATATCAAGCTTGTGACTCTACAAACTTGTTGGATGTGGTTGTGTTTTAAATAATTTTGTGCCCAACAGAAATTAATGGAAAATAATGTATGTTTCTAAACACTTAATGTGGATGCTACCATGATTACGGATAGTGATGAATGAATCGTGAATAATGATGAGTGAGAATGTTACAGAGAGAGAGAGAGAGAGAGAGAGAGAGAGAGAGAGAGAGAGAGAGAGAGGAGAGGAGAGAGAGAGAGAGAGAGAGAGAGAGGAGAGAGAGAGGGGGAGAAGGATAAAGTGTGTGGGAGAGTGTTGACAGATGAGTGACTTTCGGAGGGGGTGGACACAGGGGATGGAGGATAGAGTAGTAAAGGTAGAGAAACTGAGAGATTGGGTGGGGGGAGTGCTAGAGGGAGCTGGGTGAGGAGTCAATAGACTTCTGTAATTACACCTGCTCAACTACTTACAAAGCTGTGTGCCCATGCACTTCTTCAAACACAGTGTACTCAGATGAACGCACGCACACACACACACACACACTCCACACACGGTCCCTACAGGATCTCCAAGGTGATTGTGAAAATCTGCTTCCCCCTCCTAATAAAGAAACTCCCATTTCAATCCAATTTGCACACAAATTAAATCATTAAAAGGCTGCCTCCCTAGAGAGACTTGTGTCCTCCAGGTTATTAACCTATCTCTAAAAAACACAAGGCTCAATCCCTGATGGAATTCACTTTCTTTGCGTGTCATGATACACTGTGTGTGAGCTAATTTACAGTATGGGTGTCAGTCGATTTGTGCCTGCGCTCCTGTGCTGTGTGCCTTTAGAAGCATATACAGTATGGGAGTATGAGAGGGTGAGACTGTCACACCCTGATCTGTTTCACCTGTCTTTGTGCTTGTCTCCACCCCCCTCCAGGTGTCGCCCATCTTCCCCATTATCCCCTGTGTATTTATACCTGTGTTCTCTGTTTCTCTGTTGCCAGTTCATCTTGTCTTGCAGCGTGCTTTCCCATCTTCCTGTTTCTCAAGTTCTGTTTCCTAATTTTCACGGTTCTGACCATTCTGCCTGCCCTGACCCCGAGCCTGCCTGCCGTCCTGTACCTGCCTGACTCTGACCTGATCACGAACCTCTGCCTGTCCTCGACCTGCCCTTCGCCTGCCCCATGTTTATAATACATTATCTGAGAACTGTTCTATCCGCCTCCTGTGTCTGCATCTGGGTCATATCCCGAGTCGTGATAGAGACAGGATTGTGTGTGTGTGTGTGTGTCCAATGTCAGCCCACAGGTGAGTGTGTATGGGAGAGTCATCGATGGACAAAGGAGAGGAAAGCACAAAGGAGGAGTAGAGAAGACGAGTGAAAGAGGGAGCGACCCAAATGAAAGAATGTTCTAAGTGTGCTCTCTGTCCTCGTCTCTCCTCCCATATCCCCTGGTGACTGGGCCAGCCTGACTCCCACACAACACAAATGCACAGGTAAACCCACAGTGTGTGTGTGTGTGTGTGTGTGTGTGTGTGTGTGTGTGTGTGTGTGTGTGTGTGTGTGTGTGTGTGTGTGTGTGTGTGTGTGTGTATGTGCGTCTGTGTGTAGTAGATCATATTAGAACCAACCTAGAACACAGTAGAGTACTGGCTGAATTACATTTGCATAATCCCTCTACTTTGCATGTTTGAAAGCAGGGCCCTTTCAGTTGTTCCTGGAAACCCAGTTGTCACAGAGAGAACAGAGGTCAGTAAGGTCATGCTAGAGAGGATGGAAGTATGATGCTTTCCTAATCAAAAAAATGACTAACCCTTAGTTAATTAATAGAGAACAAATAGTGGTCCTTCCTCAACAGTTCTGTGGATATTGCCTCTTTTGTCCATTCTAGCATGGCCATCTAGTGACAACCCTGAAAACCCTAGTTTGGGAATTATGAGACACACTTCAACTCTGACCTTTGACTGCTGATGGTTCCTGGTACTACTGCCCTCACAAGACTGGCCTATATTCACGAGGTTAGTCTTATAAACAGTATGTGCGGCATTGAAGGTTTTTCACTCTACAACCTGAACATACAACACAACACAATACTGTACAAGCATGTCTTTTTAAATAAACTTTATGAACAAATAAGGCAAGTGGTGGAAGCGAATGATGAATGAAAAGAAATGAAAGAGAGTGAAAAATAAATTATTATAGATGATGATGTGGTTACCGAAACACACACACCGCACCACACACACACACACACACACACACACACACACACACACACACAGTCAGCAGTAACGTGAGTCCCACCAGTTGAGAGCTCTCTCCCTCTGGCAGTGAACCTAACCTAGGATCAGATTTAGGGGCTTAACACTTGAGGTCAGGATTATGAATGACTGACCTAAGATCAAGAGATGAGGACCACAGCCCATTCAGTTCTCTTCAATGGTATTTGTTTAGTGCCTATCACAAAGTCATTTGTTACAGGACTCTTAACAAAAGACTAAGCCCAAACCCTTCCTCTAAAGCTAGCCCAAGGCAACAACAGCACGATGGAAAACGTTGTTAGAGGAGAATGCAAAGCAGGACACTTAAACAGTTTAGTGTAAATCATACTGTACATTGATGTCAATGAGAGCCCGAAGGTTCAAGTTAGGCACCGCAGATCTAGAGTAATGATTCTATAGCATTCGGATCTTTGAGAGGAACAAGACTTTAAAGCGATTATAATGCACCTTTGTCTAAGTGCTACCTGGCAACTCTTTCTGGTGCACCACCTATTCACTCCTTCCATTCATTCATAAACTGTGTAAGTTTCCTCTGCCACATAGACAAAAAAAATGACAATCCCCACAGTCCCCCCTTTCGCCAATCAGATATGAGAGTGGAAACAACAGGAGACCGTGAGACTTGAGAAATGACCTCATGGTTCTAAATGCTTTGATATTTTATATCTCAACGGAAACGCCTTAGCTAAAACATCCCAGACCAGGCCGCTAGCTGTCCCTGGACTTGGGGTCAAACTGCAGCCAAATCCTTCAGTCCATATGATCAGACAGTGAGGGGCTGGGAGACAATAGGGAAATATAATACACATTCACAAAAACACACACACACACACGCAGATTATTCACACCCAAAACACAAGCAAATACAAACGTGCAACACACACCAACAGGCACATGCAGAGAAACAGGCCACACACACATACACACACACCCTCATTTCCCTGAATAGATTAGTGGAGAGAAAGCGCGAGGGCAGGAGATAAAGGCAGCTCACCTTTCCTCATAATGACTGTGCTCACCTGTTCATCCCCTCACCTGGGGCAGAGGGATCAGAATACTGCCTGAGCCTCCACCCGTCTCCCCCCTATTTCCCCCAGCTTCCCCCCTACCTCCCAGAGATGGCCAGATAATGTGAGTCTTTCAGCCGCAGCTCTCCCCATAGAAATGCATTCATGCTGTCTCCCCTCTCCTCTCCCCTGCAGCCCAGCCTGCCCCATGGCCTGGCACTGAAATTGATCCAGATAGACTTTCTGCTGGAGAATTTTCTCACACTCATACCTGCTACTCACACACCTCCCCAACATGGAGGAAAGACACTGACAGTGTATAAAAACAAACACAAACACACAGATAATGGTCTTTAGTGACGCACACGCTTCCACAGGTGAATGGACTGATACCGATTGAATATGAGGCAAATAAACACAGAAGCGATGCGGGTGTATGTGTGCGCGCGCATCTGTGTGTTCCAGATGCCTGAAGCTAGGACACACAGACCTGTGCACTCCAACACCAGGCCAGCTGGTGAGCATGACAAGACTTATTCCCAGTCTGCCTCTAAATCTCCACCAGGGCTTTGCACAATATTAAAAACATTATTACTAGGCAATTTGAATATAATTACAACCATACCGTCAGCTCTCATTCCCCATTATTATAATACTTTCATTATGAATAACCATTCAACCTCACGGAGAGGTCAGAAACTAAGCATTCCAGGCCATAATAAAAAATGGAATGCTCTCATTGAGACAGCAAACTAAGAAATAAACAAGCGCTCCAGTCTCAGGAAGGAAGACAATGTGGATCAGTCATCCTGCGTGTGCCAAGTCCTTTAAAAGGGATTCTCGCTGTGGCTCTGGCCCTGAAACGACTCAGACAAACAGACATGAATTACAGTAAAAATCCAGGGAACTACTTCTAATGGGTGCTGATGGAGGGATGGAAGGAATGAAGGGATGGAAATGGGGGGTTGAACTCGGCTCGTTGAGAACATTAGTGTCCCTCTCTGCCACCAGCTAAAAGCTTTCACCCCCCCTCCAGATGTCTGCCCTGTCTCCTTCCAAACCTCCCACCCTCCCTCACCCCCCCTAGCGAACATCTCAGGGCTTAGTAACAGTAAAATATAACTACATATTTGTGAGCAGCAGCAATACACAAACCTATGTGAGCCAGAACCAACAGACTTGGACTTCTCTATCCCCACTCAAGGCCTCCACTCAACCTCAAGGCTTCAAAATTCCTCTTTGCTTTCATTTGTTGTTTCTATTTTCCCCTCTTCCTGTTTTGTTTGGGTCGGGAGATGCGGTGTTGAATAGAGGGGGGTGGAGGATTGAAGAGGAGAGAGATAGAATTGGATTATCGATGGGTCTAATGTGCGATTAATAGGTCTGCTTTTTAATGAAGACACGAGTCATAGCCGCCAGCCTGGACTCCATATCTGATACAGATACAGACAAGTCGATACACGAAGTCAGACAGAGAGGAGCGATATCAGAGGCTTTAATGATGCAATAACACAACAGGGAAGAGTTTAGAAGGAGAGAGAGAAAGTGATAGATAAAGAGAGACAGAGGGAGAAGGAGGGAGAAAGAGATTCATCTCAGCATCACACCCAATGCCCATGTTCAGACAAGTAGAAAACTGCTACTAGTTTGTGCAAATAGTACCAAAGCCGCTTGACTGAATGCTAAGAGCTAGTGTCAACACTTTCACAGGTCGCTGTGAGTGTTACCTACTTGAACCGTAACATATTACCATGGTAACCACATTGTAGTTACACTTCTGTACTCACCGGCCAGGCGTATTTGAAGGGAATGACAATGTGTCCTGTAGTGCCATCACCTCCTCCTCCTTCGTCGTGACCTCGATGACGGAGGGATTGGGTGTTGCCCCCCAGGACGGTGGTGCTGCCCACCCCGAAGGTGCAGGCTCCGGTGGGGACGACCCGGACCTGGTACTCCTTGAGGCAGGCCTTGAAGTAGGTGTCACACTGGTCCCCGAGAGAGCAGCGCTGCCCCCCGGTGGCCTGGAGGTCACAGCACTCCCCACTCTGCAGCACACCTTGGGGGTTCTGGAAGTGACGGATCTGCAGCTCAAACATCCCCACTGCACACACAGCCTGGAGAGAGAGGGAGACAGGAGAGTTAGGATGAGGTATAACTCATACACACACGTGCACACACACACACACACACAGAATCATACATACCACCCAAAGAGAGGCTGAATCTATGGGAACAAAAAACGTCTGGTTTCAGATGTCATACTTGCTGAAAAAACATTCACGAATGTGATTAATACACCTGCTCAATGGGTGGAGTATCGCATTTCATCCCAGTGCTTTCCAGCTATGGGAATCTATGGATAGCATGCCCTTTCTCTCTCTCTCTCTCCCTCTCTCTCTCTCTGTATCATCTGCTTCATTAAGGTTACCAGACTACCGTCATCCTATTCTAAGAGGTAGATAAAGAAAGGGTGATTGAGAAAGGAAGATAACATTGATTCATACCACTTCCTCCACACAGCGGAAGAAAAATCGAATCCCTCCATCTCTCTCCGTATCTGTCCGTTTATCTCCCTCTATCTACCTCCATCTTTCCCTCCCCGCTTATTTACCCTCCTCCCTCCCTCGCTCTCTTTGTTTTCCTCTTTCACCTCTACCCTCCCCTGTCATGCATTTCCTACACCTCTCCATCTAGCACCTTCCTTTCGTTCCTCTTCTGTATCAGTACCCCTCCCTTCTTTTCTCTCCCTCTCTCCCCAGGGGTACTAGGGACCTTGCCACAGTTTCTCTCTCCTCCTCCTCCTCCTCCTCCTCCTCCTCCTCCCTTCTTTCTCTACCTGGGAACAGGCCCTCTCTCCTTCTCTCTGTACCAGCTCTTCTTCTCTGCAATTCTTCTTTGCATCTCTCTTTCTCCCTCTCCCTCTCTCTGTATCACTCTGTCTCTCTGTCTCTCTCTGTCTCTCTCTGTCTCTCTCTCTGTCTCTCTCTCTGTCTCTCCCTCTGTCTCTCTCTCTCTGTCTCTCTCTCTGTCTCTCTCTCGGTCTCTCTCTCTGTCTCTCTCTGTCTCTCTCTCGGTCTCTCTCTCGGTCTCTCTCTCGGTCTCTCTCTGTCTCTCTCTGTCTCTCTCTCTGTCTCTCTCTGTCTCTCTCTCTGTCTCTCTCTCTGTATGTCTCTGTCTCTGTCTCTCTCTCTCTGTCTCTCTCTCTGTCTCTCTCTGTCTCTCGCGCCCTGTCTCTCCCGATCCCTTCTCCCAGAGCATATAAATCATATTCTCCTCAGCTGGGTGCAGAAGGGCACAGACAAGCTGGTAGAGCTAACAAGCCCCCCAGAGAGACAGGTGTGTGTGTGTGTGTATGTTGGTGTGTTGTATAGCAAGGAAATAATGGTTAGGATTTCCAACCACTATTAAAGCACAAACCACACACACATGTCACACACACACATCACACACACACATCACACACACACACGTCACACACACACACGTCACACACACACATGTCACACACAAACATGTCACACACAATGAAATGATGCAATAAAGAATAGTGGCGTAATAGTATTGACAACCTGACTAAAGACAACTTAGAAAGAGCAAAGCCAGTTAGAAGAATAGCTGGTAAGTCAGCCCATTGTTGTTGCGTGGCATTCTGTCCCTCACCTGCCGCTGTCCCTGGGATAGAGGGCTAAACTGTCCTACATCAAACGACCTGTGGAGATACAGGCCCACTCATCACTCTGCATCCTCCTTTCTTCCTCTCCTCTTTCCCCCTCTCTCAGCCATTCCGGGCATACCTGCGTTTCAGCGCTCCATCTGACCGCTCCAAGTGCTCAGCCTCGACCATCACCATGGAGAGCTGTGGTAATTAAGTCCCCAATGAACCCAAACACAGGGCGAGACCAGGACCACAACCTGACCACTGGATTAACACGGTTGGATATGTTCACTGACTAACACTATTGTTAAACACTTGCCTTTTAATACCGTTAAATATGACACTAGCTTGACTGTTCTGTAATAACAGTGTAATATCAGGACAACATTATACAGTGTATCAAAACACATTCATAAATCATCCTGAATGCGCTTATCTGCATTACACTGAATCAGACACATCCCCAGATGCATTGCACTGAATCAGACACATCCCCAGATGCATTGCACTGAATCAGACACATCCCCAGATGCATTGCACTGAATCAGACACATCCCCAGATGCATTGCACTGAATCAGACACATCCCCAGATGCATTGCACTGAATCAGACACATGTCCCGCAGCACAGTAGCAAGGTCTGCATCGTCCTGCAGTAGGGGAAGGGAGTGTTATATTAGTGAAGAGCTTCAGAGCTGGGTGCAGAGATCCATGTGGATCTTTCTGTACATTCACACGCCCCAGTGCTACACGGCTGTGGCTGCAGGCCCAACACACACACCCCAGTCCATGAGTCCACATACACACACACACACACAGAGAACATCCTGATCTTGCCCCTGCACTGAGGGCTGTGTCACTTTGTCAGTGAGGGACACTTTTAGGCCAACAACCATAGCCTGGGGTGGGTCTGGGAGGGGAAGAGTAGAGTAGAGAACACATTCAGCTAGCACTCTACCTGCAGGCTTTCCCCCTAGGTCTGTGTGAACTTGAACTTGAATGTGATAGGCCTATGTCCAATTTGACTGAATGTGAATTGGTTTTCTATGTGGTCATAGTGGTTTCAGTGTGGCGTTTTGGAAGCACACTCATTATTACATAGTTATTACCATTATAAGGTAGCCTATACTATGCTGGACTATTCCTGGTCGTCTGCAGAGCTTGTACATACTGTTGAGAGAGGATGGACTGCATTCATGTGAGCAAAGGTGTGAGGCAGGGAGGCACTGACTGTGAGACACGTGAATGAACACACATACGCACGCGCACCCACACATTTCAAGCACATCCTACAGAAGAAAGGACACGCCCATGGAGCAACAAGTGGATGACACGCGACAATTAAGACCCACAACAACAGGTGGGCACCGCGCCATTAGGAGCAAGGGGTGACATATTGACAAGAGAAACAGGGAAGTAGAATGTGTCAAAAGTATTGACTCTGTGGGAAGAAAACACCGACTGTAAAAGTCAGGGCACGGTTAAACAACGGCCGAAAATAGCGCTTAATCGGCGCGGTTTACCTGCGGTTGCAGAGAGAGGGCGAAGAGAAAAATCGCGGTCCACTGCTGTCCACGTCGCCGATCTTTCCTCATCTCTGTCCTGGCGCTGCTCCTCGCACCTCCGCTGCAGCAATCAACCGGCTTTCGTCCGTGCGCTCTTTCTCTCTCCATCTCAACTTCACAGGATCGAGGACTTAAAACGACGCAGTGTCCCCTCTTCTCTATAACCCTTTCTCAGCTCTCTTTAAACGCCAGTTCATCGTGTCGTACTAGGCTTGAAAGAAAGCATTTTTGCCTTACTTGTATTGTTCCCCTTGGGGAGTTTCTCCTGCCTGCCCGCCCCTCCTCGACCCCTCTCCCCGGCTTCTCCCTCTTGGTGCGGTGTCCAGGGTGGGTCTCTCCACAGAAGAAAAAAAAACACTCTCACTCCACCAGGTCGATCTTCCCTCCACCTGCCGTTAAGAGGCTTTGAATGTCAGACCTGCTGGCTCCCTGACTTGAGCTCTCATCCCAATTACAATATCCCTCTGCGCAACGTACTCGCCCTTCAAACTAAACACATACGCATACACCCCTTCCTTCTTTGCGCAACGGACTCAAATTGATACCCAAATGAAGTAGGATCTCCCTCTCTACCAGTCAAGACTCTACGCTCTCTTGTTTATCCACTGCATGCTGCGTCCCTCACTCTTTCCGTAGGCTTTCCAACCCCGTGTGGTCACTTCACTCAGGGCTAACCGATCCGAATCACCCAGGTCCCGGGCAATGCTCCGTGCGTATCGGCTGTGGGAAAGAACTCAGCGAAAAGGGATGCCAGCCAGTGACGAGAGGCTGTGTGAGTGTGTGTGTGTGTGGGGGGGGGGGGGGGGGGGGGGGGTGTCCTCAGGCAGGGGATATCCGTCTTCTCGTTTTATGTGCACGCGGTCTGTGCGCTCGCACCCCTGGACGGTTCCCATGGGTTCCCATCGTTGCTGCAATGCCTGTCATCTCCTTTCCTTCTCTCACCATCTCACAGAGCCATTAAACCAAGGAGTAGGTAGGTATTGATTAAACTGATACTGTTTTAATTACTCTTGTAGAAAAGTATAACTGCATGAGCAGACTTTTGATAGCCTATAAAAAAAAATGGGCATATTGAACCTCTTTTCAAATCACTTCTCTCGCCTATTTGACCATGAAATTAGATATTGTGTAATTCAACTCGACTCTGTAATAGAATAATGGGCCTAACCCCCGTTTCGGGCCTCGTTTAATCCGGTATAGATCAAAGCGCCGCTGTGCCAATTAAGTAGGCTATCGGCCACAGCCTGCACTGTCAGTAACTGGTCGGCAAACTGAAAGAGTTTCTATGGGACTACCTCAGCGCAATTAGGAGACCACTTATTATGGTAGTGGAGAATGTATTTACTAACAGACTCCAATCAAGCCTGTGTGCAAAACAAAGGGGAGAGAGAAGAAAATACACTAAAGTGTGTCTCTTAGATCGAGTTTGAGTTTGAAGGGACCCCTCGCCATTGAGAGTGGCCATACGGGTGGCTGAGCAAAGTATGTGGTGTTTATGCTGTGCTATTCTTAAGTCAGACCACAGCTGATGATTAGCCGCTTTAAATCGTTTGATTATGCGTGTACACGAAAGGACATGACATCATTTCTCCCAGCTCTGACCCTCTCGTGTCTGTGTGTGTGTGACTGCTTATGCACATTTACAATTAAACCTGCCTGGTCAACTACACACATTCCACCGCTTCATTATACCGCCAACTATAAAGGGGTAGATGCCAAAAAGCCATAACAAAAGTGAAAACATTATTTCCGCTAAAATGTAAGTAAAAAAAAAAAACCTATGGCCTAGTTACAATAACCTATGTCAAAACAACTCCAAATGTTATATGGCCACCTTCAATTTTGAGTTTATATCCAATTTAATGAAGCGTTTCATGCATTAGTGCCTTGAATTTGTCCTCTGGTATGACATTACAATTAATGTTAATGTAAAGGTTTATTGATTCCCAAATAGACAATAATGTTTTTTAACGTTTTTTTTTTCAAATGAAGAACACAATGTCCTTGATGATAACGAAGTGTCTTGCTATTACATTTTGGGTAAGATTCACAGTAATTTCACTAAACCTTGATTTTAAAAAAGCAATTATCTTACTATGTTATCTGCCTCATTACATTTAGTGAAATTGGCTTCATCCCATTGGACATTATGTCACACCGATGGACAATACACAACAGGCAGTCAAATTGTGCTGTTAAAACATAATTAATTACACTTTCAGAAGTTTCTGACCACTGTAAAAATGCTTCAAAACATCAGTTCTAAACATCCGTAATGGATCCTCATTAAAGGATTTGAAGTGTAGCCTACTCATTCCAATTACAGGGACACAAAAGAGTCCTGGATAATTTGTGTGCCTGCTGCCTCCCTTGGATGTGGTAGCTGTTTCTCAGGCTCCCACTGCGAAATCTATGATCACCATGGTAGGCACAGAAACTACCATCTAAAGTTGATAGGGCACACATTCCAATGATAAGCCTGTGCCAAAAGCGAGAGCACCCCCGACAGGTCAAGGGCAGGCAGAGGTCAGGGCACAGTCCATAAGGTACAGAATGGCAGGCAGGCTTAGGGTGAGGGCAGGCAGAGGTCAGTAATCCAGGGCAGTGTCCGGGCGTACTCCACCCACACGAATTGCTGGCTCCAGGTGGTGGGGTTGGCCGAGACGAGGCACCGAAGAGTTGTCTCCAGGTCCTGATTGGCTCACTCTGACTGGCCGTTGGATTGAGGATGAAAACCGGAGGACAGGCTGGCCGACGACCCAGTGAGGGTGCAGAATGCCTTGCAGAACCGGGACGAGAACTGAGGACCACGGTCGGAGACCATGTCCACTGGAAGTCCATGGATCCGGAAGACGTGCTGCACCATGAGCTGGGCCATCTCCTTGGCAGAAGGTAGCTTGGGGAGGGGAATGAAATGGACAGTGCGGGACAGGAAGAGGTTGAAGGAGGCCAGCCGGAGCTTGCCGAGGAGTCTTGTTCTGAGCACAGACAGTGCAGGCGGTGACAAACGCGGAGACGTCAGAGACCATGGTGGGCCACCAAAAACGTTGTCGCACAAAGCCAGGGTCCGACGTGAGCCAGGGTGGCAGGCAAGCCTGGAGGAATGAGCCCATTCCAGGACTGGGGTGTGGGTAGCGTCTGGGACACACATCAGGTTAGCCCCTGGGGTCCGGCTGGGAACACTGCGCCTCACAGACCTGGTTCTCTATACCCCAGATGAGGGTAGCCGCCAGGCACGAAGTAGGAAGGATGGTCTCGGGGTCCGAGTGAGTAGCAGTGGGGCTATAGCGACATGAAAGCGCGTCCGGCTTAACATTCTTAGACCCCGGGCGGTAGGAGATGGTAAAGTTGAACCGGGTGAACAAGAGGGCCCATCGAGCTTGCCTGGATGCAGCTTAAGGTCTAGAGCAGAACGCTGGGACAGGACAGCCCCCACTCCGACATCCGAAGTGTCTACCTCAACCACGAACTGACAGGATGGGTCCGGATGGATCAATATGGGAGCTGTGGTGAAGCAGTGCGTAAGGTCCAGGAACACCCGGTCAGCAGCTGGGGACCACGTGAACGGGACTTTGGGATTGGTGAGTGCTGACCGGGGGGAAGCCAGGGTGCTGTAACCCCGGATAAAACC